TTAAAATGGTGTCAAGTAGGGTTTTAGTGTGCACTAGCCCTAATACCCCATCTCACAAAAGTTGAGTTGAACAAGTACTTTCACACTGCCTTTGAATACCATGGGCGTGGTACCTTCAGGTGCATGACGCAGTACAGGATATCCTGGGTGTGGGATCTGGAGGAATGTGACACAAGCTGGGCTTATTTTGGTTGGGTGACTGATATGATGTGCTTATGTACATGTACCATACACACCTGCAGGAACATGTAAGGCTTGCTCACCAGACCTGGGTTTGTATGTCTGGGCTAATCTCCCACTTTGGTAGCTACCAGTTTGCTTTATTGGCATTACCGAAAGAATGCATCATTGCACTGTTTTAGAGCGCAACAAGAGCAGTCACTACTTCACAGAGTATTTGGTTCTGTGTGTTAGCCACACGTGTGTGCACATACAACTCCTACATGTAGCTTATTGGGTACAACAGTTGGCCATTCAATTGAGCCACACATACATGAGGTATAACCGTTTTGAATAAGCCATGCCCCTTAGATACATGCAGTTCCCAGTTTATTGGCCACAGTAGTTGCACATTCAATTGACCTGTCCACTGATTTTGAGTTGGCCACGTCCCTTAGCAAACCCGATGGAATTCTGTACATTGACTTGTCTTTGTCTCAGATTTTGCGTGTTCCATGTCCATTTTGTATCATGATTGGACAGTACATGTATTTCACTGGCTGTGTTGATGCAATTCTATTGCAGTAGGTCAATAGTGAATGAACAGCAGTTAATGCTGAACATTTTGTTTGCTGGATTTCATTTCACGCAGTGGTAGGATAGTTTTCAATGGTACAATTTTTAAAATCCAGTTGCTAATTACTAGAAAGGATGAACTTAATAAATGCATAAATTTGGATCCCTTGCATCCTTGCATTTTTTGCAGGCAAACTTAAAATGCTGAGTATCCTGAAATTAGACCAGAACAGAATCATGTCGCTCCCGTCGTCCATCGGAGGGTGAGTATCGGATGACACTGTTGCCAGCACCCCCAAACCGGGGGGAAGGAGGTTGTAGTATGAGCCGATGCTGTATTCATGAGACAGCAGTGCATTGTGATGCACTGTCATTTGTTAATGTCATGGATCAAGGCTGTCAGCGCTATACAGGATATTTGTCTGCAGTGTTCTGCGGATGAATAATTGCAGCGTTGAGTTCAAGGTGTCTGTTGCCCATTGCATTTCCATAGGAGATGCTTGTAAATGAGGGTACCAGCCTGTAACGTCTGTAGGTTCTGATGTCCGTTGCATTTCTACTCAAGATGCTATTCATTGAGGGTACCAGCCTGTAACAGCAGTCTAAATATATCTCTTTTCCAGTCATTGTGTTCGATGTTTTCTTAGCCTTCAGAAGTTTTCGTAATATTGACTTTAAAAACACAAGCATCCCATCAAAGACACCCACATTTATTGTCATGAAGCTTGTACTGTAATGTGAGTTTGAGTACAGTACCCAACCGTTATATCCTAGCATTTCATCAAAGGACCTTGACAATGCTACGTTCCTGTTTGAACAAAAAGCAAAATTATTCCTTGGGGGGCACCTGATTTTCCATGAAAATTAGGTTTGAGATTGCCGCTGAACCTTGGGCCAATTTTACAAGCTTCTTTTGGAAAGTTTAAGCAATGAATGCTTTGTCAACTACTTGACAATTTTGCCTGGTACCCAGGACATATTTTGCGCTCAGCTTATCAGGGAAAAACCCACCAGTGGTCGACAAATGGTGGTTACTCAAACAGTCCCTTATTGCACAAGTATACCAAGCATTGACAAGATTTCAGTTTCAGTAACATGCAACCAGACTACCATTTACATTTTGTAAAAACCGTCGGGTGGCTTGTGTTCGACTGTCAGAGTAGTACATTCTAATTGCTTCTACAGGGGAAGTTAGCTGTGGCACCGGGAGGTTGCTGAGCAATTCAGTTTAATGCATTGAATTTGTCGCTCCTGGGAAAAAAAGTAAAATGTCAGGCTTGACCGCTGTAAACAGCCTATTGATATGTTTATTTTTCAACATGAGAAAGGCCGGACATTTATGCTGTTGCACTGCATGGTCTATCCCAAACTCGGAAAGACCCAATGGGTGTTAAAACCAATTTTTCGATATTTCCTCATCCGGGTGCAGTACAAGAAAAACATGAATATCATATTGAAATCAGTACACTTAAGTGAACTGGCATTAATGTGCGACTCATTTGCGTTATTTCATTTTGCATTGTTTTTTTTTTTTTTCAGATGTGAGAGTATGACGGAGCTGATTCTCACAGAGAATATCATTCAGGAGCTTCCTCCAACCGTCGGTAACCTGTCCAAACTAAACAACCTGAATGTGGATCGTAACAGACTCCTACATCTAATACCAGAGGTGAGACTCCTGGAGCCAAGCGAAATGAATGTAGGGGGGGGGTAGAAGGGGAATAATAATAGCTAGGGTTTCTTAAGTGCTGCCTGGTTTAACATTTGGAAAGTTTTCTCCGTGATTTTTACCTCGGTGGTTTGAGGAAATAGCCCTATAGATTTTTTTTGGTCAATAAACTGTGTTGTTTCTATTTTGAGTGAAGTACCTGTCTTCAGCAAGGTTTCAGATTTCATGAGTTCTGAGTTAGAGAAAAGTTCCATGCATTGACAGGATGATAGTTTCATAGTCTTTGGTTTATAGACGTCAGTGTAAACATCCACTTTGGATACCTTGCTACAAAAGCCTTATAAAGTAGAAAATAGATTCACTTAAGATAAAAGTTCAGCTGCAAGACTCTGTGCTCACTGGTTGTAGCAGGTTACCAGCCTTACTGTCTCCTGGGCGTGACTGTATGTTTTCCAGATCGGCAAGTGTTCCCGTCTTGGTGTCATCTCCTTGCGAGATAATCGTCTGACAAGGTTACCCCCTGAGATTGGCATGCTGAAAGAGCTGCACGTCCTGGATGTATCTGGTAACCGGCTGGACTGGCTGCCTATTCAGCTGGCCAACTGCAACCTGAAGGCTCTCTGGCTGTCAGAAAACCAGGTGAGGCAGGAGACATGTCTTGTCATGTCACTTTGAAGGTTTTTACTGACTCACATCCATTGCACACAGTTGAAGAAATTGATTGAAATACTGAAACAGTGTAGTCAACACACATGTCAGCCAACAGACATTATTCACATGGAAGCCAGTTTCAATCTTATTCCTTGAATCTGTTTTATAAATTGCAAACTGTCAATGAGGATGGCACCAGACTGTTTTATGATTGCCTTGCTTTCCAAGCCTCCCTTTCAATATTGTTTTAAACCGGGCTTTATACACTAAGGTACATTTTGTATGTTGCTCGCTAATTTGAAATTGTTTACCGGAGTAGACAGGTACTAATTTGTCATGAAATTTCATTGTATCGCTTTCATTTCTACTCTCAACTTTCAAAAATGAACAGTGAACTCTGCTTTCAATATCATTACGGCTGACCCATGAATAAATAAAGCCCATTGGGAAAATTTTTGTGAAGTGATGGTGCTAAGTCACACGTTAGTACAGTGCTCGAGGGCAGAGCTCAAGTTCCTTTGAGGATGAGGTGGCAATTGCTAATTCACACTTTGGTTTCAGAGACTGGGGCAGTCTCTAGTCGAGAGTTTCTTGGCTTGCACGGTTTGATCAGGACAGTCTCAAGTCGGGAGTTTCTTGGCTTGCACGGTCTGATTGTCTGATTTTTCTGCTTCCAGTCTCAGCCGTTGCTCAACTTCCAGACGGATGAGGTTGGACCACAGCAACTCAAAGTACTGACCTGCTTCCTGTTACCCCAGCGAGGACCCTCGGAGAGCATGGGTGAGGATGAAGTAGTCAGTGTAGGGTTCAGTTTGACAGAGCTGCTTAATAGTTAGCTGAAAAGTTGTGCTTAATAATAGCAGCAGATTTTGATTACCGTAACCACATATTTATATTTTTTGTACAAGATGTAGAAATCTTCCCATTTGCTACTATTTGCTACATAAGCTTCATTGTTGAACAGGGTTGAATGGTGTGGTCCATGAAAACTTGGCCCCAAAAAATAGACTTTGCTGAATAATGAGAGACAGCTTATTGGCAACACTTGATCGCCTTTCTCAACGAGTTTTGAGCTGTCATTTTTTTAGGTCGTATGGAATACAGTGGAAAGTTACATGTTCATGTATGTCTAGTCTGGGTTCTTGTGCCTCTATGCAGTAGAGCATGTGAGTGATTGGTGTGTGAGTGTAGGTGCTGTATACCTTACAGTTACATGGGCCGTTTTCCAATACTCAACTTCGGCTCCGTTTCAGGCTTCAACTGTTTTTACTACCTGACTTTGAAGCTGTAAGCACAGTAATCAGTCTAATAGGGCCACAGAACATCAAATAAGATGCAAGAAAGCCAAAAATTACAGTTATCCAATGTAATTTAAATGCTTCAGGCCCACAATCGGGGATTGATTTTGGGAACGAAGCCTGGGACAGAGACGAAGTTGAGTATTGAAAACGGCCGTGCAAATCCCATTGAAAAAAGTACTGACTTTCCGTTGGCCAGTATTTTTCATTGTTAATCTCTTGATAGCTCTCTATATCCAAAGTGAAGTTCACAGCATTTACTGAAGTCACTTTGATCATTGTTGCAAAGCGCTTTGCTGATTTACATGTGTCATAATAATTCCGTATTGTAAGAAATACCTGCAAGGTTTTGAGATAAGGTTGGGTTAAAACTTGCGAGAACATTGTGCATTGGTGAATGAACATATATATCTTCATCTCTATGTGGACAGAGAACCTTCTGGCTGGTAGTATCGCTACCAATGAAGAGGATAACAGGGTCAGCTGGACTGAGAAACCCGAGAAAGACAAGGCCATTAAATTCCATGATGACAAGGTGGACTTTGAGGAGCATGAGCGACCGGTAAAGCGTGCTTTGTACTTCATCGTGACTTGTGAAAGTTGTATCAGTTTGTGACGTGGTGGCAGTTGGCGCATGTTGAAACTGCACCCTTGCTGGACGACATTTTGATCTCCGACTTCTCCGTGGAATGTTGCATGACATCCAGTTCTGTTGGCATGCATGTTTTGTGTGAAGTGTGCACCGATCTGAGCACCCACATATTGTTCCCTCGTCAGCCGCTTTGTGTTTCTTTGATATGGTCCCATTTGTTCACAGTCGACTTCACTCTCATATGTTTCCATGTCTCCTGGGTGGGGAGGAACATATCTCTTGCCTGAGGCTACAGAAATCGTCGGCCATTGACTGTGGCCCATTTGCCCAAAAAGGTGGTGGGGACAAGTTAACCAAATGAGCTTCCATTTTTGTCAAATGGGCATTTTGCCATTTCAGAAATTGCCTCTCGATGCCAATGCTTTATGTATGATACATGTACATGAACATTGCACCTCCGATTAACTCCAGTACTGAGCAATAACTCTACAGCAGCACACTGCTATATTGAACACTACTGTTCTGTGTGTTTACCTGCAACAAACATCCCTTTCTACTTTTGAAATTTATATGTACATTCGAGGAATGTCGTTGAAATCTGACAATTGAGAGTGGCACTTGTACAGACATTTGAATCTAGTCTTTTTCCAGATGAAATAAAATTATACATCAGTTAACTCTTGGAAGAAAAGCTGCATGCACCCGACAGAAAGAAAATTATTGTGTCCGTTGGCTTTATGTGCAGTATACTCGTATGTAAACCATCGCATAACACCATAGATTCCAGAAAATCGTGCATGTGTGAAAAATCCTGCACGTCCATTCTATGTCTCATGCATACATACATTACAAATAAACATGAGCCATCGCTTTCACATCTAAAACAGGGACCTGAAGGTTTGATTTCCCCCCCCCCATCACACTCAATCACCCATGTGGTATGATTACAGACGTACACATACTCATCAGTACTTGTCTTCATCTGTGCATTGGTTCCCATGTGCATGGTCCCCGTGAGCCACGTTGTACACGCATTACAACTCACCGACAATGTAAATGAAGGCCATTGCGCTGTGTGCCATGTTAGGGACAAACTGACAAACTGGAGATGAATGATGCGCCATTCACTCCTGGTGCGAAGTGAAGCATCGTTGCTTAAATGGCAGAGAGCAACATGTGGTTTTTCAGGTTGTCAAGTTGACGGGGGGGGGTGCAGTGGTCTATCTCATCCATGAAGATGTTGTGATTGTATCAGGCGTACTGGGGATGGGGGGACAAACTCCAATATGGAAAAAAAAATCAGTATTTTTTACCGTGGACTCCATCTTAGAATCTGAAGGTTAGCATGGAGGATGTAAAGAGCTGTATTGCTACACTGATCTTTTAAGGACCGCTGTGTTTATTATTGCAGTGTGCTACTGTCCCAACAATTTTTCTTCCTTTGTGTTCTGTGCCAAACAAGGAAACATAAGGGAAATGCGACTACATGTACATGTACCGGTACATAACAGGAAAAGCACAGACTAGGATCAGAAATAGATTAGTGCTTTACAGAAAAGCAAATGACTCGTTAAATGGCAAGATTCTGAATGACGAATAATATTGCTTCAAGACTGCTTTAGTTTGACTTGTTGGAAGGATTATTTCTTGTAGTGCATGGTGAAGAAATACAACCGTTTTATTTCTTTCAGTCCAACTTTGTTCGTCACGATACACCCCACCCCAGGGAACTTAAGGCCAGACATCCTAAGTTTGCACACCAAGGCCATCATAAAGGCAAGCACAATGTAAGTGATGACACGGGAGTCACTGTATATCCGCAGTTTTTTTTAAGAGAGGCATAAAGTTCTTGTTTGGTAAAATTCCGTCAAATGTTTCAGTTTGAAGTTGCTTTCTGTTAGTAGATCACTCTCTTCCTTTTATAGACCAGCTTATGAAATCTGCTTGAAATCTTTATTTTCTCTGTCTTTTGTGGCTATGTAGATGGCACTCTTTCCAGTCTTTTATTTTTAAGTATTGATGGAATGCCTATCAAAAGATGACACAAATGTCCGAGGAGTTTTTTAAGGAATTGAAACCGGCTTTATTGGATTAGTTTTTCTTGTATACCTTTGAATATGTTTTTCTACTAAAGTTCAGTTTCGTAAATTTGGCAAAATGTGATTTTGTTTGATAAAAGTTCTGTGTCTCTGTTTGATCTCAGCGTTCCACAGATGAAGACGAAAGCCAAGTGGGTACAGATGATGAAGCCGAGAAGCGGTTGTCGGGCAGCTTTAAGTCTCCGACTGAAACTGATCCATTACTCGCTGGAGCCAGTGGAACGGTCATCGTTCCTACGCTAATGTCTACCCAACTGGCTTCACCTTCACCAGTAGCCAATGTAGAGGACGACAATATGGATGATCCCCTGCTCAAAGCTGTCAGTGTTGCCCCGGTCCAAGCTGAAGTCCCATCCTCGATTGATCGGCGATCAGGGGAGATTTCTGAGGTGAGTTTTTGGGGCACTGAGTTTGTTGTGCAAATAGCAATATGGTTGCTCTTCCACCACCTTGAGTGGTGTAACTGCCGATATGATCATTGAAATGATGCTCATTCCAATTGCAGCATTCTGTATGCTGTTTGAATGGTTTAGCTTTTTGTCTGGTTGTCTAAACAGAGAAGTTGCAGAGTGTTCCATGTCACGAAATGAACAGTTTTTAATAGTGACCTCACCAGTGACCCTTAGAATATTAGTCTGTACACACCCAACAGCAAGTGCAAGGTAAATGTATTAGCAGAGCCTTTGTTTGAGTGGTATGGTGGCCTTGGAGGGACATCAAGTCATCACTGTTTTTCACAGGTTTTGGAATCACTTTGCTTGTTCTTTACCTTGTTCTTGAAGTTACAGAATCAATTTTTTTTAGTTCAAAATTGGTAATTTGATTGAGTTTTAAATTTCTGCATTCACTGAATGCCATTTTACTGGTTGTGGGAGCAGCCTGTCTTTACTGCCGGACAGCAGAATTTTTTTAAGGCATTGTAATCTCTAATCTTATAATGACAAGAAAAAAATTGTCCTGCACGAAATGTGCCACGTTACAAAGGAATCCTTGCGTATGATGTGCCTGTAGGGCCGCAAAAAGTACAAGCTTGTACGAACTTACATGTACCTGTGTGAATTACCCAAAGAGGAGTCTGGTTTTCGACTGTGGTTCACAACTTGTGGGTATTCCATGCGATATGAGGCAGCCAAAAAGGGCCAACTTGTACATGTACAGTATGCACCAAACCTTTGATGGGTACCGGATTGTGGGGAATCTTTTGTTTCGAAAACTTGGAGCAAGTTGTGGGGACTTTTGTGTGCCCCACAACATCCTGTGTTCTCAATAATGTACATAGGCAGTCTCCATCACTACAGCACGTGTGCCAGTTTGTATGTTTGCCTCTTTATCCCCAGTTTACTCCGCCTTTCTCAAAATTTGTGTGGAAGGCTGTATCTCTAGAATTTTCAACTCTTTGTTCACTCCCTGTAATTCTTACTTGAAATGCAAAGTCTGTGCAATTTCAGTCTTGGACCTCCATGTCTTCAAGTTCTAAATATCCGCCACGCCAGTAGTCACATTTTACATGCACCATTCCTATTTGCCCAGATCATGGCCAGTCACCAAACCTACTGAGCCAGTATTTATCCAGACCAATTCAAGTTCCCGGGCCTGTCTACTCAGACAACATGCATTTACCCATCCTAGACCTCAAGAGTAGCTCATTCCCTGATGGGATCCTTTTGACAGAGTAGTATAGCAAGTCTAGCCCACAGCCGGTCATCAAGGAGCCTGCCCTCTAGGCCCGACCCCTTTAATGTTGTTTCTTCCTCCTGAATCCTTAAACATGCTTTTACCTTTTTGGTTTTAATGCCGATCTTTTCCGTTTGTGTTCTTCAATGTGTATCACTGTACATGCATCTCTTCAACTGTTCCTGAGTAGCTACATAGTCAGTATTAAAGAAATGATTGGTGTTTGTGTCTTGCATGGGTATTGCATGCTGGGAGAATAATTTCCCTCTCAATGTGACATGGATAGAGCACCTGGTTTTTTAACATTCTGTACACGGTTCACATCCCAGCACAGAAGTATCTGTTAACTGACTGACTTACCAGACACCAATGATTTCTTTAATGGTGACTTGATACCTAATCTACAGAAACTAGAGAGACACATTAGCTTTTTAGTTTTGCTTCTAGCTGATGCGCACTCCTATACGGTCGTGTACTGATGCATCCAGCTAATACATGGACTGCTGACTGTCTCTCTGCAAACAGAATAGGCAGGCTTGCACATTAAGGTCATTCTGCGTGAGAGTTCCATTCATTAGATGGATGTTTGTGGTTGACCACAGCATCTACGTTGTCGTTAAAGTGGAGCCAAGTGATCCATTTGACATTGTTGGACATTCGCTTCAAGTTGGCAAACTGAGGGCATTTTTAGATAAGATTTGTTATGTTGGGACATGTATTTACATGTAGCAGAGTGGAGGATCTTGTAGTGTAGATAATCAACAAGAAATTAGTTGCACTGATCCTAAACGCCATGTAGACTAATCCTAAAGATCCTAAGCCCACTGAAGTTTCCACCAATGGCCTGCTCCACTCTGCAGAATGACTCTGAGAAGCATGTCGGATTCTCAAGTGACATCGAAGACCAACTTGAAAAAACTGACCTGAAATTACACCGGCGTGACACCCCGCACTACTTGAAGAACAAGCGGGTGAACTTGAACGAGGAACCGGACGAGAAGACAACGGCTCTCTTGAACCAAGTCCTGGCTCGTACCGCTGCAGAGCAGGCCCAGAGAGAGCAGCCCAAATATGACCGGGTGAGGGACTCATACCAGACTTGGCTTAAATGCTAGCTGCGCCTTCAAAATTCAGGTTTAACTCCAGAAGAGATCATTGTCACAAATCCTAGCCATCCCTGGTACACTTTGACTGGAATTCAAATGGACATGGACCTAAACTGACTGATTAAGACTTAATCATTGTTAAATTCATGCGATGAAATTTGAGTTTTTTGAAGTGCTTATCTGCAGCAGGTGCTCTATCCATTTTAATTGTCTATGTACAATTTTCATAGTTTTCATCTTGCTCTGTTTTTGATTACAACGCGAATGCACACCTCTCTTCTCTTCTTGACATGTTTGTGTTGAAGTTTGTGTTAGAAGTTTAACATACGATTATTCTGTGCACAATAATTGAGAATCGCTTAAGATCAGAGCATTTAGTAATGTTAAACAATTGTTTTACTTTTGGAATTCCATGAATTGACAGCATCCCCCCGGCAGTCCATCCCTTCATAAATCTCACAGCCTTGTTGCGAGTCTAAACAACTTGCGCTCTCGGATTTGTAGTACCGATTCTATACAAGAAAAGGTAGCGCTGCTTTGTGGGGTGTTCTGATGTCTGGATTCATGACCATAAAAGTCACTGCTCTTTTTTTGCACATCTCTCTTTAACCCCAACAATCCTATGGGTTTAGTATTACTCACACACCCTTGGGGCTAAGGGTTAAAATCCTGATAACTGCTTTTCGCTTCCAATTTGCTGTGCACAGCTACACTTATTCGTTGCAGTGATTTGGAATTCAGGTGTAAAATTTACGGATGAAAGTTTTATAACTGAAATAGAGGAATAATAACCATCTATCCAACATATACATGTATGTCTTGACGTGTTGCTCTTGATCTGTGGTGACCTCTTCATTGCTTTAGATAGACCATTCTTGCCGTATGCTACCTACTGAGATGTATTTCTGTTCTTTATGATGCACTTGCAGTGAACTGTGCACTTGCTATGGAACAGGTTCAATTTAAGCAACATTGAATTGAAATAGAAATCTGTTAATAGACTGAACAACTTGTATTTTGTTCTCCACTCTGCTGTTATTATTTGTATATTTGTACTTTTCTGTCCTTAACCTCATGTAGCTAAGATGTTTGGCGTGCCACTACCAATTTAGAACAGGAACCATGTCTGTGCATATCTGTTAGAGTAAGGCAGTAAGTCCTGTTTTAAATAATGTGCCAGCTCGGAAACCACCATTAACCACAACGCTGTCACGTGTGAAGTCCACGGACAAGGCTCTGACAGATGAAAGGAAACGACGTAAACATCAACTCCTGTTACATGTAGCTGTCTCTTCATTGGGAATACTTCTGTTTTTTTCAGCTGGAAATATCCTTTTCAAGAGAAGGTGGCGGTCTTGGCATCAGCATAGCTGGAGGTCGTGGGTCCACTCCATATAAGGGCAATGACCAGGTGAGCAGCATACTCTAATTTGTCTAGCCGGAGAGAGCTCCAGATGAGTGATTAAGAAATAAGCAAACACAAGCCCATGTGTGGCATCATACAGGAGTATTAATCTCTAGCAAACATTGGCCTACATAGATTTTGGCATGTTGATCCTTGTATGAATCCAAGTCAAAGTCTGTCAAGGGAATCTGCAAATGGCATAGTCTGACATTTTTTACGTACATTGTATCTTGTGATGATATACGGTAAAATTATAAATCCCTTTCACTTGTCTTTATTTATGTCTGAGTTCTGTTTGTATGAAAGTGGCAAAAAGCCATTGTCCACATGCACTAATTCGTGGAGATCTAGGCATATGTGCTGGCCAGTTATAGATGCCTTGTTGATCAAAGAGGCATTTAGAAATTGTAGGATCTACATGACCTTGTTGCACCACCTTAGTAACTATTTTTAACTCTGGTCACGGTATCAGTCTGTAATCAGCTTTTTTTGTCAGTGGCAAGTATATATTTTGAAGTATGTACATGTATTTAAGAAGAAGTATAATTTGATCATTCAGTAAGACTGTGTTCTTGGAAGCTTTGTGAGAAAACAAAGCCAAACCATTCAGACTTGTTATGGTACCTATACAGTTTACCTTTGAATAAAGGGAGTGTATTGTGGTTGCATGAATTTTTCTTGCATTACCTGCAGGGAATCTTTATATCCAAAGTAGTGGAAGGAGGGATGGCCTTCAAGCAGGGTCTGTTGGTGGGCGACAAGGTTGTCTCGGTGAGTAGCAGTAGAGAGCTTCATTGCTAATTTGCACCACTTGATTGAGCATCTGTATGAAATCTGACAGACAGGGCATGGGAAGCCTTTGAGTAATGTGCTGTCAAGCATTTCAGCTGTAAATTTGGAGCATTTCTCATACAAATGTGCTAGGGTGAACCTTAGGCAATTTATTCAGTTCTTGGAGGCATCTGTCTGCGGCTGCCTATCACTCTATGATGTCATTTTTCTCAGATAAAGAGTGGTCTTCATCCTCTTTGCTGATTTTTGACCATTGCTTTGCCTTTTAATACCATTTTATTCATCAGCCTGTTTCCCCCATATTTGTTTGGGCTTGGATTCATCCTCAGTCCTTCAACATCTTCAGTCCTTCAAAATCCTCCTACTACCTCCATGGAAAAATTAGATGTGGTTCCAATCTTCGTAAATCCTTCATAATTTCTTGAATATGTTCCTCAGAGGGGTGACCTTTGCTTGAATCCTTCAAAGTCCTCTGGCAATTCCTGTCCTTATGTGGACGCATTGCAAATGGTATCCTGGAACATTGTGGGTTATTTTCTCATATAAGTTTGACATGAATTTGTACTTCGTGGTGCATAAACAAAAAACCTTAACACAATGCATCGTCGGCAACCAGTCACGCTATGCAGCCTCAGTCCTCCGAAATGCTCTAAAGCGTTATCCTTTGGATCACTGGAGACTCTAAGCTAGGCTTTTTGTGAACATTTTAGGTAAATGGAGTGAACTTAGTGGATGCCGATCATCTAGAAGCAGTGGAAGCTCTGCGGAATAGCACAGATCACATTGACATCGTCATCTTACGAGAGACGGAGGTCAAGCCTGATGTCACTGCCACAGCTAACCAAGAAAATGAAGAATCCACGGCTGAGGTGAATTTACCGGTGAGTTTTTTCCCCCATGCTTGTGGTGATTCTGAAGTCACCGTGTCGGCACAAGAAGCAGTGTTTCTTGGTTGGCTTGATTTTGTTGAATTACAACAAATTACACACACGTGTATTTTTTAAAAATAACTTGGTTACGTGACCCTTCTCCAAGTTATTGGGCTATAGTTGAAAACATTGTGGTTGTGAAGCCACTGATGATTAACCGCAGCAAGTTTCCATAGAAACATGTGCTATAGGAGACCGTAGCCATCTAGTTTTGAGCATGGCCGTACTCACAAATGCTGCCATTGGCTGGCACAGGCTTTGATAGATGCGCTTACTGGTCGCTCAGTCAAGGTTGCTTGAGTAGGATAGGCCATCACATTGTGTTGCTTGGGGCTGCATGAGGAGCTTTATTTTATTAACTGCATGTCTTAATCTCTGCAAGTTGATTTTTGGCCAAGTGACTTTACCGCATTGGGTTGGGCTCATTTTTCCTCAAGTCCATTCCTTAGCTTTTGGAGGGCCGGTTGTCTTGTTCCAAGAAGGCATGATGATGCAGTAATGCAGTGGGTCTGCTGTAGCCTGATTGCCAGAATATTTTGGTCAGGGTTTCCAAATCTTTACATTGGTCACTTGCAAGAAGAAAACCATAACAGATCTACGTTGCCAACTCTACATTGCAACCATCTTACGTAAAGACAATGATGCCTGTCTAGCGTCAACAGTGCAAATAAGCTGTAGAGAGTATTTTCAGCGTCACATCCAATCCCTTCATATTCACTTGCTTTCAAGTTGTTTATTGATCAGAAAAGTGGAACATATGAAAATGGATTTTTTGTTAAAATCTCAGAATAAAGATTAGCAAATTTGGGTGTGCTTTTTTGAAGGTGCACTGCTGAACTTGTTTTACAATTTTTAGAACGGAGACATTTAAAATTTCATATCATCTTTGAACTGCACAGCAATATGCCTGAACAAAAATAAATGTGCCATGCGCCAATGTCATGAAACCAGTTGCGATGGAATGCCATTGAAATGCACGACCTGTTTTTCATATGTCTGAACACCGGTAGTTGACTACATTTTCATTGATTCACTCAATAACACCCATTGCATGTACATGCACACATTCCTGTTACCGGGTTACGGGGACTGCACAGGTGATGGAATATAGATGTAGATGTTATGTCCCCACTATTCGGTCCTGACTTTCCTGACAAGAATCAACACGTTGAAGTCCTACCCACAATGCACGGTGACAGTGTCTTGTCATAACGTACCTCTCCACCCTCGTCCGCCCTGTACACACACACATTGACTTGTGATTTGCACTGGCTAACACTGGTACAAATATTAATTGTGGTTTAGCATTTCAACGAGAGTCTTTGCTATTACAAACTGCACCTGGAGATCAGGGTGGTTGCATATTGTATAATGCAAATGTTTGGTTCTCAGTGGTGGCACCATGTGGATGTAATTAGACTGAGTTGTTATACTTCGAACTGAGACTCCGGCTGCATCCGAATCTGTTGTCTAGAGCTAGTGTAAGTCTAGGTCTTCACTCCATTGGAAATGCATGGAAATGCGCAGACAATTGACCTAGCCGTAGCTCTGGAAGCCTGTTTCGGACACGACCCCAGCTGTGCCCATGGCGTATCATATGTTTGTTGGTATTCCAACAGGAACTGGTTGTAGCAGGTGAAATTACTGTTGGGTATCCTGACTGTTTACCATCCTGACTGTTTACCATTTTGCCCCTACAATATTGGCTAACACAAACCACCTGACAGCTTATCTTGCCTTGATAAATAGAAGACTGAAAGCTGCTGATGCCAGGGCACCCTTGGGGACTCGGTTGACCCTCTGGGTTCATTACTCATGCTGCATGTTCTTCTTTGGTTGTTTGTATGTGTATTTCTCCCCTGATAGTTTATAGCATGTTTCTTACCATTGTTTCAGTAAGTGATCTTAACGGAATCGGGAATGTCTAATGAGTGCCTGGAAATGCCCAGGTGTAGTACATGTACCTGGTACATATTATATGAAGTAGGGGCTTGTGCAGTTCTGTGGTGAGTTTTGCAAATGAGCTAGTGCGGAAATTTGCAAATCATCTGCTGTGGGAAAAATGTGTAGAAAAATGCATTAAGTAAGCAACACCTGGTTCAGACTGGCAAACCGGAGTCGTGCCGAATCAAATCGAATTGAAAGCGACTTGAGTCGATCCACATAGATTTTGGTTTTACCGGTAGATAGATGTGCTTAATTCAAGCCACACCCAGCAGCTTGAGATAAAAATTTATGCTGACGATTCACTTCCAGCTGAGTCATTGCTCACCACAGTTTTTGTGAACATACATGTACGGACATTAAAAAACTTAGAGCTAGTGAGCATAGCCATGACCATATTCTTGAAATAATGCTGCACTGTCTGTGGAATTTTTAAAGACTTATGAGCATTCAGTCAACATGAATCTGGCAAGCAAACTAAAGTCGTACTGGTTAAATACATAACAGAAAACACGATAAGGATAGACGTAATATTAGGCTAACCAGCAGTAATATCAGTTAATTTCAATAAAAATCATATAAGATTTCGGTAAAAAATAATTATGTTACATCATTGACATTATCAACAGGGCCTATATCCATTTATGCCAGCCATTACATCATTAACACCAAGGCTGCCTCTGGATTGTTGGATTCTGAAGGTCATATTTCCTAAATAATTTGGTTGGGCATGTCTTTTGTTTGGCAGTCTGATCTGGCTGTAACTTTTAAATAAAGTCAACAGTAGTTGCTCTGCCAGAGTTTTTAAGTTATTTAATATAAAACTTCAGTTTTAATGGAATTAAATTTAATAATTTGAGTCTTTTAATTGTATCCATCTCCCCAAAGACCTGCTTGAGTCTGTTGTTTTCTTGATCTGCTTTCTTGATAACTTTTAAATAATTTTACAGTGTTAAAGCAATGGACCAGATTGGTCTCCAATTTGTGGTTTATTTGTTGCTATACTGACATAATTGTTTTGTTCCAAGTTAATCAGTGTATCCCTAGCCCTGCCAATTTTAGTTGAAATATTTTTGTTGAAATGGTTAACTAAACAAGAGCTATAATTTCATGACTAACATTCCATTCCCCCATGGCTTCCCTCCTCCCTCCCTCTTTGACCTTGACGAATTTGCAGCCGGCCACAGTCCCGGATGATAGTGAACCCATCAAGGTGCAGGAGAGGCCGGGCGTCAAGTTTGCGCCCGAGCCCAAAGTCCGACTGGTCCAAGAGGTTAGTCTGGTGCCGAGCTTTCCTTTGTACTGTGGCAGTAGCTGTAGAGTGTTTTGTGAGATCATGCAGAGGTAGATGGCTCTATGGCGTAGTTGTCATGAGTGTGAAAGCGTACCTCATGTAGAAAAAAAAACAAAAAAAAAACAAGCTAGACAAGGGAACAAGGTTGCTGTGTCATGTTACCTTGAAGAATGTGATGGAAAAGGTCGTTACTTGCAGGTAGTTGCTTATACAGGCAGCTGTTAATTCCTAGTTGAAATATTCAAGTTGTTAGAAAATTTCATGAAACTTTGAGTGTTTGAAATGCAAGTATTGTTGGCCACTGTATGAGGCACAAATTCCGGCCCAAAAAGGAGATGAGTTTGAAATAAATATAAGGAACACATAACAATTTGAGGAGTTTATGGTTTCCTTCAAACAATTGAAGGAAAAAAAAAAGCAAAGGACTTGCTAAATGAAATCTTGCCAAGTTTACAATTGGATCACTTCACACAGTGTCTGCTGCTCATTAAAGCAACGTGTGAAACACGGCAGCTTACGATGTAAGGGGAGTATCCAGGTAAATTGACATGTATTTCCGCTTGGAGGATTTGCTGAGACTTTTTTTACCCTCAGCAGTTTGCATTTTGCTTTTCTTTCCGGTGTGTTGTCTCCTGGTTTTTGTTTCGCTTGTGCTGCCCCCACATTTAAGTTCAGACTTACATGTAAAACTGTTGCTGCATTTCATGCACTGCATTTATTCACTAACCGCATCATCCTCAAATGCTTTCACGTGTAACAAGGATCCAATTTGATTGGGTGGTGAGCTCTTGGTTGTTTTGCTAAATTAGCGGTATGCTCAGACTGGCAGCAAAATGTGGATAACTTTGTCAATCACTCGGTTATTGCTGAATCTTCCTGACTCTAAATTTTTTTTCAGAATTCTGAAATAGCGACTTTTTGGAGATTCTAGTTGTTCAGTTGACAACAGAATATATTGTTGGCCAGGCATGCAAAAGCACAAAACAAAGTTAGCACCCTATTCTTTGAACGACTTTAAACCAGAGTGGTTACTCTTTGGCTGGATTGTGGACTACTTTTAGATTGGAAAAGCATTTCCAAGGCAACAGTACAAAATCCCTGATAAACAATGCAAAATCCTGCAGAGCTACTTGTCTGTGCTGCTGATTGAAAGGACTGTTCAGTTGGATCCACTCCATACCACAGCAAGCATTTCATTTGTTTCACAGAAATCCAACAGAAGATAATCACATTCTTCATTAACCCGTTCATCATACATAACTTCTTGTATTCAAAACATACAGTATTTCATTGAGTACAATCCAGAAGTACAATAGCACAGTGCCCTCCCAGTGCCCAGTACTCTCACTTTAACAGGATTTTATAGTACAGAGACCACAATGAGTTCACACTTCTTGCCTAGTACAGAATATTTTCAGAGATCTTGAGGAGTTTCGGGGAAATCAATTAAAAAACCCCTACCACGGACGTCAGTTTTGATTGTGAGTATTGCTTGGAATGCCACATGTTCAAATCAGGAACATACTTCCCAGAAGTCTTATCTGGAATTTGTAAGTATTTTTGACTGGAAATGATCTTCCACCTGATGGTGGACTGCCCCAGTCGAGAGTGTGATAATGTCCTGTCCCAATTGGGAGCATGATGTGAGCACACTCTCTTTACACTAAGTGGTGTTCCAAATGTCACATGAATAGTCTGGGGCTTGAGATACTCCATGAGTTGTCTTTGGTGATGCAAAGTCAGCACAACAGTTAGACGATACAAGACCAGGGTACACAGATCTTTTTGCATGAAACGCCCGTCGCTAAATTGCGTGTCTGTCTCTGCAGAAAATATCAGTGAGGTTATGCAAGGATTCCAATGGTCTTGGGTTCAGCATCGCTGGAGGAAAAGGCTCCACACCTTTCAAGGGCTCTGACAATGTAAGTGACAGTATTTAACTTGTAATGAATATATTGCCCTATATTGCCTTGTGACAAATGCTTGTACAAGTAAATCTAAGGTAACTTTTCTACCTAACAACAGAATTGTGGCACATTATCATTTTTGGATCCAAATTTTACTTCATTGGAAGAGAAACACTCACGAGGCAACCTACTGAAGTACTTTTGCCTTTAATCCACAATGCATACAGCTACAAATTCTGTCCTTGTGTGGTATGTCATGCTTGTGAGAAGCCATTGTGGTCAAGCACCTTGCTCAAGGGCATAGGCAGCAGGATTCAGTGGTGCAGCATAGTGCCATGCCATGATTGCTTTTGCTTCCAGAAAACAAGATTGTCCAACGGTCAGAGCAATTGCGTTTAGCTTACTTTTAGTGTGTATGTCCTTGGAGATACGAATATCTACATTTGATTAGAGTGCGCCATATGATCTCATGATTTTGCACATGCCTTATTCACCGTGAAGTGTCCTTCCACCCAAATGCTGCCTTTGTCTTTGACAGTCCATCTTCATCTCAAGAATTACTGAGGGAGGAGCCGCAGATCGCATTGGTGTACTGCAAGTCGGGGACAAGGTGCTAGAGGTAAAGAAGTGCCCAATGACAGAAGAGCCATTTCAGTCACTGTGGATGAATAGTGTCAAGATTGCACAGAATACAGACGAGATCAATGAGCTCGACCCTGTATACAGTCGGTCATGCCTCGCCATGCCACTTTGTTGAAACTAAACAAGTAGATTTTACTCTGGAAAGATAACCCTTTCTCATCCGTACACCCCATGGTCCCCATTCATCAAGAAGAAGTGGCACTTTGCACCTGAACAGTGAGGTCCCTTGGATCAACAAATCGTATATGTGCGCTTGGTCTTTATAAAACTCTATGGATGCCTGTACTGGCTTTAATATCAAATGGTCAAAGATCAGTACTACTCCTGATTAAACTTGGACAAAATAACTTCTTGATAATGAAGCTTGCCGCAAGAAGATTTATTTATGTGGAATTTGAGGGAACAGTTTCCCTAAAGGTTGGTTATAATTTTTGGAGGTCATGGGAACAGTGTGTTGATGTCACATGAAATGATTCGACATGGTCAATCTGGGGGCTAAGTGATGCTCGAAACACTCGCCAGAAAGTTCAAAGGTGTTAACGGATTTGATGTTAATTGTCTCGGTTGTGTTTCAGATTAATGGTGTTGACATGGAATACGCTAGACACGACCAAGCAGTAGCTCTACTGACGAGCACCAAAATCATCTCTATGCTTGTATTCCGCGAGTCCATGGAGGTGGAACATCATGAACCTATCGTCAGTAAGTCAGTCGAGCTGTTGCTCCTCGGATTCTTGGAGAATAAATGCATGCCCCATTTCTGCATTGTACTTGTCACTTAAGAAGCCTGTAAGAGTTAAAATGAATGCTTCAGTTCATTTCTGTTTGCAGTCAGTAGGTTTTTGAGACCAGTTTGTCATTGGCATAAAAAGCTTGACGAGTTACAATTTCACTCTTTCACTGTGTGGCCAAGTAACAAGATAGGTCAGCTTTTTTACCCTTTGCTGGTTTGTGCTTCAGTCCATTTATCACTTGTGCAAATCATTTATCACTATCGTTGGGTAAATTTACTAACATTCTCTGCATAGAGATACATTGGCCTTGGATAAAGCAGAAAATTTGATAGAAATCATCATGAAAATGAGCAGACTAAAAACAAAAGGTGACTTCCAAATGACTGTGTATCGTTTTTATGAGTTTGGCTGTTTGCTAGGCCAAATTGATGACTTTAACTTCAATGCCTCTGAGAGTTGGTGTGGTCAAAAAGCCGCTCACTGTGAATGCTTGATACTCTGCAGAGCATGAACCTCCCGAGTACTACGATCAGCGTGCTGATGGCTACACTAATCATGTAGAACCAGTGAAGGAAGACATACGATTAGTACGCACAGGTGGTCCTCTAGGGCTCAGCATCGTCGGTGGAATTGATCATTCCAGTCATCCCTTTGGTGGTAACCAACCTGGTGTTTATATTTCAAAGGTAAGCAGATTAATGTCCTAATGTAGTGCGAGGGATCGATGTTCTTTTATAGAAAAGGAAGATATATGATGGCTGGGACTGATCAAATTGATCAAATTGATCACTCTACTACGTGTAGTTGTCTGATCATTTTGTAGGCTACTAGGAAAAAGGAACTGGTTAATATACTGTTTGCTTCTCATAGGGCTTTGGACAGGTGCAGATATGAAGCCTGCCAGAGCTTAGTATTGTTGGTGGCAGCATTCGCTCTAGTCGTCTATTTGCTGATGGCCTGCTACTTTTGGCATTTTGGATTTGAGTGCTCCAGAACTCAAGTCTGGTGTATAAACAAGGCTCTGAATAATTTGTGACCACATGAATGCAAATGCCCAAAATTGCTAAACTTGTGCGCTATCCACGTTCATGCTAGATGAACTTTCCTCTGTATGAGTGCTTTGTGAGGGTGCTTGCTCGCCACTGTGTACGTTGTCTATTGAGCAAGGAACTGAAAACTAAATGGTTATTTTAATAATGGACTGTCCCATCCCAGATTGTTCCAAATGGTTCAGCAGCTAGGACAAATCTGTGCGTGGGAGATCGCATCATCAGAGTGAATGGTGTAGAAATGAAGCACGCTACACACCAAGAGGCTGTTACTGCACTGCTGTCCAATCCGCATGAGATCCTGCTCCGAGTCAGTCATGACCCCCCACCGCAGGGACTCAAGGTGGGTTCCAGTGGCCTGTGCACTCATCGGGTTCACCGGCATTGCATAATGAGCATTGTTAAACATTTCTAAACATCTTATTGGGAAGTGATATTCCTGTGTGTTGAAGGACAAATTCATTGATCGGTTTGTGGAAGTTTAAAGTCAGTGTGTGCCAAAGCTTTTGGAAAGGCTGCAGCTCCTGTCATTGCGTCTTTCTCAAAGTCAACTGAAAATATTCATCTTGGAGATTTTCTTCTGAATTCTCCCAAAAAATATGTTTGGAGGATGCAGTGGCCTACCTGATACCAAGACAGAGAGAATAAATGAAAGACGTTTGTTAGTATTAATAACTGTAAAGCAAATAAGGGTTTTGAAAATTATGCGTGTACTCCACCACAACTAGAAATTACGGTTGGATAGCTCAAGTAAAGTCTTTATGTTGCCCCAGTTGAATTGTTTTATTCTACCAAAATTAGAGGCAACATGTTATAATGGAGACTTTCAATTCAAATAATCATCTGTAATCTTGTCAGAAACTGAAGTGGATTTATTTGTCAAGTGTTACTTTATATAGTACATTCCCGTCTTTCTTGACCTCTCGACACTTTAGTATTGAACGCATTGCGTTTCATTGTCTGTTTGGCTATCCATACATTTCTATTCAAGCAAATTAGTTCAGTTTATACATAGATCTGCATTCATTTAGCATGTTACTGGCTGGCCTGCGTACCACCATTGAACATACATGTGTAAGACGGATTTCTTTTCTACTTCGGTAGGAAATCATGATCATCAAAGCTCCAGGAGAGAAGCTAGGCATCAGTATCCGAGGGGGAAACAAAGGTCACCCAGGGAACCCCCTGGATAAGAACGATGAGGGCATATTCATATCAAAGGTGGGTGTGAGTGGGTCAGTGGGTGTTAGCATTGGGTGGGGGTGTAGCAAGGGTCACTCATGGACCACCCTTGATAACAATGATGAGGGCACATTCATATCAAAGGTGGGAGGCAGTGTGTCAATGGGATTTTATATCATCCAAGGCAGGTTGATAGCTCTGACTTCAGTTGGGAACTTCCTGAACAAGAGTGATCAGGATACGTTTATGTTAAAGGGTGGGTCACTAGGGATAACCGAAGGGAAACGACCTCTCATAATCAAACCCTTAACAGGAATTATAAAGTTAGGGGCCCCGTTAGACTGAATGATAGAGGGCCTTCTTTACCTAGCAACAGCTTGCCATGTCAATGGGCTATTCCCAGTCCCCCATTGTAGATCAGCTATTGGCCAAGACGTCCTTTTGTCTCTCCGGTAGTGACGTACTGTACAAACATGAAGCTCGTATTGAAGTTTTTTGCCTGGGTTACAGGACTTCAGCAGTTGAGGTGTAAATTTATTAGGGATTACTCAGGGAACCAACCCTCTGGACAAGAGCGGCCAGGGTGCATGCAATGGTGGATCTTGGTTCAGAGAATGGAATTTCTGATCTTGTTTCTTTTCCTCCTGAAGGTAAATGAAATTGGAGCAGCTTCTCGCGATGGAAGGTTATGTGTTGGGATGAGAATATTGGAGGTAAGGTGGGCTTTGAAAATAGCGAAGTTTTGTCTTCAGAAGCAAAATTGTGTTTACAAACAGCCAAGTTCATGCCAGTTTGCAGAAACTTGATATGTATTGATTTCTGTTTATGATCTGAAGAGGATTTTTGTGATTTCTCATGGACCAACTGTAATATTCTATTCTTTCAGTTTTTGTAATTTGAGGTTATCACTTACATTGGTGTAAATAATGAATTTAAAACATAAAGAGCATCACCTGGTCCGTTCAGATTTATATGTGAACAGCTCTGGTACAGATGTCATCTTAAGAGTTGGGATCATCCAGTTCATCAAACCAGATGTCTTAAGTGCTTGATCATTTTTGCACTTAGTTCATCTTGTGTGGAATTAGTTCTTTTAAAAATTAACAGACTTTATTGGATGTGGCAGACTTCACCTGTTAAAAGTGTTGGTGGTTTTGAATCTGGTAGCGTGGTACATGTAGTCAAGTTCGAAAATCAGCTTTTCTGAGGGTTGTCTGAATCACCAAAACAACATTTTTTTCCCTGTAAATTTCAAATTGCACAGGTGAACGGTCAAAGCATGCTGGGTGCCAGACACGGTGACGCAGTCCGTGCACTGCGGAGCGCGGGCGAACGCATCCAGCTCTTCGTGTGCGATGGCTACGACCAGAATGAAGTTGCCTTCTGGCAGGCCCGACCTGGCGTGGTCGGTAACCCGCTGCAGCACTACGACAGCAACAAGCGCACCAGCCAGGAGAGCATATCGTCCATTGACAGGGAGATGACTACCGAGGAACTCAACAGGCTGAACGAGGTAAGATCTGAACCTTACCCCAACTTTTTTCCAGGTGTTGCATACAGAGTCGTGATATCCCGATTTATACACTGAATTCCTCTGCAGGTGTATTAGTGAAATGGTTCCTGTTTTTTTAACAGCACTGCACCATGATATTCTGTAGTGCTACTGACCCTAACTCTGCACCTCCACTTTTGAGTCTTTTTCATCTAAATACATGTAGAACTGTGCGAAACAGCATTTCAAGATAAGAACAGTCTGACATTTGGTAGACAGATAGTCCATCTGTTTCTTTCACACGGATCTGGATCTCGATCAGCGATCCCAACGCTGGCTCGCCTCATCCATTAAGCAGGCTGTGGTGTCGGCGAACCAACGGCGGATCACTGATTGAGATTTATATCCGTGTAAAATAAATACGGTGCAGTATTCAGGGAGGTTACTTGACACCTTCCAGTATTGGGGACCTGCTTTTTCTTTATCAGCTCAAAGCCTTGCGTCTCTGAACCGACTACATGTTTTGGATGTTTGTGTGGCAAATTTATCTTTTGTGTCACTAGACACAGCAGGCCTTTAGTGTACATTGAAAATATAACCAGTCTGTTTTATGTGATTGCATACCGTGACCAAAGAAATTGGATATGCATCACAGTGTGTGCATGAAGACGTGCATTGTATGTATCAGATCAATCATGGTAACACCCCTTTCTAGCCCTTTTAAAACTGATTGAAGAATTGTCATGAAAAGACTAAATTTTTCAAAGGTGGAAATACACAAATAATTCATTAGTAGGACTTGGCTGAAAGGGTCAATTTTATGTAGAGTTTATAATGTAGTTTAAAGAACATTACTAATTCTTGCAACCTTCAACTACAACTTCTAACTATTCTAACTATGCATCTTGGCATTTCACTAATTTCACTAATGGCATGGTTGTTGGGCCAAGCCGATATTCCCCAACCATGGTTACCTGTTAATCTCCCCATCTTGTTGATTAATTTCCAACATCTTTTTGCCTTTTCTGCCTTCATCTTCACTTTACTTACTGTAAATTGTCTTGTAATTTTTTTTTCAACCTTTTTCTTGTCTTTCTTTCTTCACACTCCTCCTCTTGTTTGTCTTTTTTTTGCTTTCGACACTGTGATGTTTTGCCTTGCTGTCGTTTTCGTGACACTGCTTGTTTCTGTAAATCTGTTGCGTTCTTTATCTTGTGTTGTTGGTTTGGATCATGACATGCGTTTCCATCTTGCCTTGTTCATTTGTACTGTTGTGGTTATTTTGTGTTTTTGTTTCTGTATGACCTTTTCAATTTCCTCTTAAACCATCACTCTTTGCCACTTCTGGGCTACGTTTGTTCTGTCTGTTTCATTCTTGTTACATTGCCCTTTTCACACCTGCAACAATTTTCTTCATGGGTTTTTTCTTCTTTCTGCTGATCAACCATGTGTTTATCAATCTTCCTGTTTTAATCTGTCGAAATATCTGTCACCGTTTTGTTTCCATCGGCTGTTTCTTTGCATTTCTTTGTTCAATGTTGTTGCTTTTCTTTCCGCATGTAAACCTCTTTCTGTCATTTGTGCCCTATCTCATCTTGCTGTATCCCAATTTCTCTGCCTCTGCCTTCCCTTAATTATCCACCTGTTACCGTACTACCCTGTGTTCTTATCCATGACTGTCACGCCATTTGTTACCCTGTTTGTCTCTGTCCACTGCATGCTGTCCCATTTTGATCACAGGAGAGTCAGTATCAGCAGGAGGCTGACCAGTGGGAAAAGGAAGAGCTTGCCAAACTGGTAAGATACCTCAGTTACAGTCATCAATAAACCCAAACAAAGCCTTATTTACACGAATCTCACAAGAGAATTTCCAATGTACATATCTTACCAATGTATATATCTTACCAGTAGCAACTTTAATATGTTTTGATTCTCTCTTTTTTGTGGCAAGTACATGTAAGCTTATGAAGTGTCGTAGCATGACTTTTGGTTATCAGCAGTCAATTTTTAGTTGATTTTGTTATTTGTCCAAATCCTGTAGCATTAATTTGTCACCTGGGGCATTTCCTTGATGGACATTTTCTCACTAAATATCACTTTGTACAAACAAGTATGTTTTAGGACACTTTTGTTGGTCTTCTTTTTAAGTTGGTTGATTTTGATACGGTTTTTATTCAAACTGATTGAATTTGTCCCTCATTTACCAGTTTACCATGCTTTACAGTGGAAGAATCCACTGAAACCTGGAATACTAGGAAAATATTAACAGCATCAAAAATCAGTGTCATCTCCTAAAGCTTGCCGCAGTTCCTATATTTGTAGTGAATTCTTTTGTGGTTGAGAAAGCCGTAGGTGTAGAAGCATCCCTGTGGCAGTTGCTTTTGGTTGGGTTGTTTCCTAGTTTCCCTCATTCCTAAATTGTTTCTGTTATCGCTTTCATTTCCTTTTCACTCCTCTGTGAAGGATTTGACACTGAAGGTAACCTGCTCTTTTCATTTAGCACCGGTCTCCTTTTCTGTGACAACTTTCACATCTGCCACGAGATTGATACTAACACAACGGGCACACTACTTGGAATTGACATAAAACGTGGAAAATACATGCATTAAAAGTGTGCATCTGATCGCCTATGTCTTGATATTGGGATCAAGTGGATTGTTGACATGCAGGTCAAAGGTCATTTAATGGCTGTGTTCGTGACCAATTGAAGGCACCATTACAGTGTATTTGGAGTTCAATTTTCATGTTTTTCATCTTACTATATCTGTAGATCAAAAATTGCAAATTTGAAAACGAACAGAAAAATATTTAAATTAGAAAAAAAACAGGAAAAATGTGCATATTAGTAGATGAGGTTTTCAGTACGTTATCGCTCACCCATGATTTTATTTGCACTGCACTCGCAATGATATCTTGCCTAGTTGCTTTATGCTACACACCTGTAAAATAGATTAGTGGATAGCAGCCTTTAGTATCGTCATCACAGGATATATAACCAAACTTCATTGAGGTCTCAAATTTCAGAAATATTGCCAACATCTAAGAGTTCAGGGTATTATACCGTTGATCTAAACGTTCATGCTACTTACAAGCCGCACAATTCCTAATGACATCAGTGAATCAGTCTACACCAGGAGAGAGATGTCGAGCTGAACTTTGAAAAGAATGTAGGGTGAACTTGTTCCTTATTCCCATCATTATTTTGCCAAGCTTCATGTAGGAATACACTACAATCAAAGCACTTTCCTCACACTAGCTGGCACTCATTCACTTGAAGAGTCATATTCACCAGGAAAGCCCTCGAAAGTAATCGGTGTTTATCCTTTCCATTTACTCAGTAAGATCCAGTCGGGTTGAATGACTCAACATTGAAATATCATAAAATTCTTCTGATTTTTTTTTTTGACCCTGTCTCAGGAGGCAATGAGATTACAGAGGGAGGAGGATACCAAGCTACTCATGTCAGACGACAACATTACTAATGATAACCCAATGCAGAAAGTCACCATGAGAACATTGGAAGATATTGAGCCGCCACCCCCTGTGGCAGTGGAAGAGCCGGTATGGCAGATGTCAAACTCAAACGATATATGGCAACTTTCTCTTGTCTTTTACAGTGGTCTCATTTCCTGTGTTTACAGCTTTCTACACAGTGAATCCCTTGTGTAGTTTGCATGCTCATTATTTGTGACTTTTTGTTTCATTTCACCATGTTGTCGCCGACACTTTCAAGACCGTTTTACCAATTTTATTAGATAGTACCTGTTTAGGTTGAATGAACTTTTTACATAGTGACTGAGTAATCCAACAGTTTTGGTTTGTGACATGTGCATGTTGCATGTTGGTTTGTGTAACAGAGTCCAGTAACATGTACACGTATGGGGTTCAGTAGTCGTGCATGTGGATTGTGCTGTGTTTTCATGTGTGCTGTGTTAAAATCACATGTTGTTTCCAGTCATCATGTTAATCAGATGTGTGTCTAGATTAACATTGCACTTTGCACAAGATGTTGCCCACTGTCGAAAATTGCACCACTGTCTTAAAACTCTCCGTATAATTTTCAGCAGAGTGTTCTTTAAATCTGAAGATCGGAACCATAGACACTGGACGTTCATGCACACATCAATCTCAACTGTGTATCCTTACAACAGTCTTGTGTTTTGAAGTCTGGTTTGAATTGCATAGTTGCAAAGAATCTTAGGTAATGAGTTAAATAAAACAGTTATGATGGAAAACGTTAGTGTTACACTGCAAGTGGTCTTAGGATAGCCGAACAAGGCTTTGATGTTGATTGATTTACATCAAAAGCCTTTTTTTGTTTCTGTTTTAAAACCTCATTATTCAGTGTACATGTATTTCCACATATGGCATGGAAATGTTTTCAAAATACCTGGAGTGGGAGGGAAATAAAAACTTGGTGTACCATCCAGACAACTACTCTGGTTGGTGTTGTATGTCGAGGTTGAAGGGGTCAAGTACTGTATTTTAGAATGTTAGTTTTCTACCGTGCATTGTGTCTTCAAATGTTGTAATTCTTTCCCAGAGAAAGCAAGATGTCTCAGTGGACATGACCCCAGACCGCGGTGCTTGCTGCCTTCCATGCTGACAATTTGTCCCCTCTTTCTCTCTGTCGCTTCCCGTCACGTGCATACAGGTGCAGCAGAACCCAACTCCTGTAACAGAATCGCTGCCTTCCCCTCCGGTCATCGCCAACAGCTACAGCAGTCCAGAAGCCGAGGAAGACCTGCCCCCTCCCCCTCCACTGACCAGCCCTCCTCCGTTCAGTCCACCCCCTGCCGAAGAAAAGGTACGTACCCGGGGGGAAGGGGTCAGTTGGTTTGGGAGAACAGCGTTGAATTTAACGTAGTCCCGAAATAGCTTGCCGGAGTTTGCACGTGCACTTTTTTACACCACCACAGCACTCTGCATGTTCCAGCAGTATGGAATCTTTTGGAAGTTCCCAGATGTTTCTCCTTAGCTGTCCAAGATATCCTCTTTGTCCAAAGAATTACATGTGCTCTATCTCTTGCCACTATAAAACAAGTAATAATGTTCCTTTTCCTCCGAATGCAAGTGCTCCTGTGCCACGTGATTTTGATATTCATAGAGGTGAGAGAATGATTGGAACTGAGCTATCGTACATTCCTTCGAAGATTGTTTGTTTCATGTGGGCCCATTAAGCAGTCGATGGCTGTTTTGATATTGTGTGACATCCAAGATGTAGCCAGATGTCCTTGTGGTTGTTATAGGCCACCAGAGGAAGCACACGAAAGGGCATTTCCTCTCCTCAAAATTTTGTTGCTGGAGAAGAACAAGTTGATGGAGTCCCTTTTGCTGTGGGCAGTCCTCCATTGTCAATAAGAAATATAGGAATATATATCTTTATTCAAAATCGAACTTGATGTTCTGGACCAGTGAAATCTAAGTATATAGGACACCATGTAGCTTGTAGAAGCTGTTAACCCACTGTAGTTGGAGCTAGCAAGGCAGAATGTAGAACCAACTTAAAAAGTCAATGCTACAGTGATAATATTAAAGCCATACGTATATATGTACGTACATACATTGTATAATGTGACTGTGGTCCTAAACTGTCTTTAGAATAGTAAAACTAATTTGCAAACTCTGTCCTACATGTATGTGACTTTTTTGAGCTTAAAGAATCCCATACGGCTCTGAGATAAGCATGACTGAAGACATGTTGTAAGGGGGGGCGGAGTTGTCCGAGTCGATGCCACCCCTCTGTTGGCAAAATGTTTACATCACTGTTGTCTCGAAATGAAAAAAAAAAAAGGCTTGAGCCCTTGAGGTCAACATTAAAGTACAGTATTACGATTCCAGGAAACTTTATCCCCTCCGGTAGATTTCTTGCGTTGATTTCAGGAACGTCTTTTTTAATACACATTATTATGTAGTACTAAATATGCGGTACTAACTCTTTTTTTTTGGCTCATTTTTTGGCATGGCAAAGCTTATATTAACTGCATGCAGCATGATTGAATGGCAAGACCATGCCATTTGTGGAATGTGCGAATGTGTGCAATCACAAAAAAACTTGACTAAAGTGAATAAAGCCTGTGAGGATGTACTATCCTTTTTTGATTGGCAAACTTTTTTTTTTTTAATTTTCTATCCAATTCCTAATATTTTTGGTACTACGGCAAATCGCATGGTCTCCAAAGCAGGTTGCGCCCCTTGCTTGCCTCGTCTTCCTCAGCAGCACCCTTTGAGTTTCGGTTGTGTATCCAAAACAACTGCACGCTGTATCTCTTTTTCTTTCTTTGCCTCTGTGCACCACTTTTTTCGCCGACACAGCCAAAGAAAATGGGTCCGCCCGTGGCCCCTCGCCCCGCTAAGGACCCGGCTGGTAGGTCCAAGCTAGTCTCTACCTCCAGCACTGCCACAAGTCGCTCCTCTAGTACGTCTAGCCCACCTACATCACCCCAGGTAATGATTTGGCAGGAACAAAGCCTTTCCCTCTCCCGCCGCCTCCTTCCTTGGTTTCAACCCTTTAGTTACCAAGCTTTTGCTAAAACCTGTTCCTTAAAATCGGTTTTATTTTCTTTTTTTGGCCGCTGCATTGCCCATAGTTGCATCACAAACAGCCTTAAACTAAAGTTCCAGACCATTGTGGTACTGTTCCGAAGCTCATGCCTTTGTCATCCTCAGTCACTAACAACACTCTGAGAAACTTAAATTATGAGGTGTACATTGATACACACACACATGCTCTTAACCATCTTTGATTGTAAGACGTTTTTGTGCAAAACGTTGGAAAATGGTTTGGCATGGGTATATGTGTTATGGTAGCAGATGCCGTGGCCATGCAGATGACTTGATGATCCAAAGGATGCCTTTCCGGGTGAATGTGTCACAGTTTAAAGATCAGTCACATTGGTAATTCACAATTTCAATTTTTATGAAATTTAGCTATATTTAAAACAATCTAGTTGGTTCAAACTAAATAAAGATTGCTACTGACATCAACAGCATGAGTTGAAGCGCTCCTTCATATCAGGCAAACTGAAAACAAAAGTTGTCGGGAGCATCCATTAGAAGCCTGTTTTGATGACGTCACTCTATGGCTCTGCAATTTTAAAGGGGGAATGCGCCCCCGTGCATGGGCGCTGTTCTTGCTCAGACTTAAGTGTGAATTAAAAGAGGTTGGACAGCAGGAGTGACTTGGAATTGCTTTTCCGTCGACTGTCTTGATCAACACTGGATCATATGACAAAGTTGAACTGTGCCAATTTGAACCGCAGTTAGGTCCTGATGAATTTCAAGCAGATGGCCGTGGTCACTTGCTGAGAATGTAACTTACTTTACCTGTCTTTCCTCTGTTCTTGTGCAATAAAACCCTTATTACGACCACAAGGTCAAGAAACTCTGGGAGAACGAGAGCCGTATTACGACATCATTAAATTGCTATATTTGTTTGCCGTCCTCATCAACGCATTTTTCTGACTGAGCATTCTCGTGGTGGAAGTGAACTCCCATAATGACAAGTTTTTCATAAATGCAAAGAGAAGCTGCCACGTTAGCCATGATATGGGTGATATAACAATGCCCAGTTCCCTGTTAAATAACCATTTTATGTCAAAGCAATGTGATTCATCTTTAATATGACAAATGCATGTCAAAGGGCTGTGCCATTTCTAGTTGTAAATTTATGATTGCGTGCCGTGTACAAGTACATATACATCATGCGCATCAGACAAACATTTGCCTGATTTGTACACACACTTGAACAAGAGATCTAGCCTTCTAGTAATTTACTCATGGTTACCTTCAGCTTCTGGGGGAGGCTCTAGTGTGGTATTCGTGCTCTTCAAGCCACTTGATTTTGGAGAGTAGTTCAGATTTGACCTTCTGAGTGTCCCGGATGAATGGTACTACCAACGTTACACTGGTAACTGAAGGGTTAAACAAATGAGGAGGTTCAGATTGTCTTGCACACCGTTCCTTGCATTGGTTGAATGGGAATGTTTATATCATACATATATACAGTATGTCATCGCATTTACAATGTATGTACATTGCATCTTACCTAATCAGCTTCATTTTGAAATGAAAGCATCTTTGTTTTTAATACTGTGTTATAGATTTTGAATTAAGCAGCGAGAAAATCACAATCAGTGATTGTGCTCAGTCAGAGTGGGAAATTAAAAATCTTGCTGTGCAGCAGCCGCTCAAAAGCAGTCTATTGGTAACTTATGATAGAGACGGACATGTCAAGGCCAATCTTTGAAAGCGGATTGGTCCACATAGTTGCCATTAAGTGACATATTTGACAAAATTGACTTGCTCACCACGTTGCATGTGAAATCATTCCACCAGTCATCATTAGCCTCGTACTGCATGTGATATTAACTCACATTATACTCCATGCATAAATAATCATACAATTTTGAAAATTGTTGTTTTAGTTCAGCTGCTTGTAATCAATCTTTCCATTTGGGTTTAATATGGCCAAATGGCTGTAGACAGGAGAGCTAAACTGGCCTTTACTGGGACTGTTCGTATATTTTTTCTTCTGGTTGAGTGACCGAGAGTGAGGGTGTATATTTAACTCATCCATATTATCTACATGAAAAGAGTTTGGCTTAGATCTGTCGCTATATTTAGATGTGGGGAATGATGTCAGTTGAACATGGTCAATTAACCATATTTTACACTGGGTTTACAAAGCGCTTGGTGACCATACCGCCACCACATACAGCTGACTAAAGTGTGGTGCCACACTGCTCTGAAATGCATAATGTCATTTAAGGTTATGCCCATTAATAACACAAAAAACACGGGAATAATCCTGAATGAAGTGTAAGTCTCTCCTGCAGGCCTGCTGTTATAGAAGCCCATCTGTTGTCGTGCCGCCCACTTGACAAAGTGGAAGTAGTTCACACATGAGAATGACTGTAGTTGTTAAACTATTGAGGTTACCGCAATTTATCAACCAGTGTGATTGAAAACATGTGCAATTCTCGTTAATGTAAAGTGATGTAAATGGATACTGGTTTAATGTGATTTGTTTTTCAAAACTCAACAAGGAATTTCCATGATGGTGTAATATCATTTGACAAGTACGGCAAGATCCTGTTGAAGTACATGTAAGAATCAATAAATTAAATGAAAATAACTTAAGAAGAGTGCTTTGAAACCTTCATTTAATCTAAGGTTGAGGAAGATAAGATTTCACGTCGATAAATCACCCCAGTGCTTAGTCTGGCAAGATATGATGTTGTAAACACTTCCTCATTGAATTGCATGACACACTGACTTGACTACTTGCTGAAGTTGATGTTAATTGACTGGCTGACTCTGACATAGTCCACTTTTTAAGACAGCTGCAGAAGGCAAATGAGTTCCAGGGAATGACTTATGAGAGTATGTTGTCGACTGGCAAGTTGCTGTATTGAAATAATCGCAGTCATTTTATAGGTCTGTAACTTAAAGACGACTTCCAGTGTGCTATAGTAAGATACATCACATTCTCCATTTATCTATTTATGGTACCAATTGCACTTGCTTCCAGAATAGTTGTAGAATATGCTCACATTATCTCGCATGTTTTGAAAGTGAAAGTCAGGAGTTATTTTTCTCTTATCTTCCTTATAGAGCAATTGCTGGGATATTACAAGTTCCTAAAAAAGTTTTGCTTTCTTGCTAAAACTGTGTCAATTAGATTACTGAGATAGACATGTGACTGTTCACCTGTTCGTTTTTCTTGTTCTGCTCGATAAACATCCTAATGACCCCTCTACTTTTCTACGTAATGCATACCCATCGTACCGTTCACAGCCTGTCAAAAAGGTGGCCCCTCCCGTCGCCCCAAAACCCCCCAAATGGGATGACCGAGATCCCTCACCGCCCCCCACCTGCCCCCCGACAGAGGAAGAGCGGGAGGAGATGGAGAAGCTGAAACTGGCCAAGCAGGCCCGCAAGGAGGCCCTGAGGGTGGCGCGGCTGTCCTGTGGCAGTGTGGGCAGTCGCTCCTCGGGAACAGGGAGTCCCATCCTGTCGCCAGAGATCATATCGCCGGTCTTGTCTCCGCTCATTTCAACTCAGGTGCCAATTGCTGGGATTTCCTGTGAGCTTGTTGGTGTTGGAAGATGGAGTTACTTTCTTGGTGTTGCTGGCTTAATGTCCAGTATTGTCCCCTTAGGTTGCATGCTGCTGTAATGTTATTGGTGTTCTTTACTTTCAAGTGTCATGAAAAATGGCATTCCTCCAATGTTGTCCTTCACTCTGTGTTAAAACTATTTAGTTCAACATATGATACATCACCATGTCTGACATAGTGACATGTTACTATTCATATATTGAGTCCCATTTCTTTTGTATTGAACTGAGTGTCCTATCGTCTGTTACTGCACTAGTTTCATTTCTCATTTGCCTATGACTCTTGTCAAGAAGATCGAGAGTTTTGCTGTCGGACACTTTGTTTCTCCACATCAGCACATGCATGGCCTTATGACAGTTGCCAAAAGTAGTTCCATAATTGCATGGAATAAGATGTGATTGGTTTTATATATGTGTGTTTCCAGTTGGCCTTTTATTTTTTCCATAGTACAAGATGTAAATATAAATGTACAAGTAGTGTACACTTTGTGGATAAACCCTAGGTGTGAGCTTTGTGGTTTAAGTTGCCCTGTTGGATATTGTGGTTTAAATTTTGGAAGTTACTTTTTGATGTTTTGGCCGACTGCATCTTTAATCCTTAGTGATGCTCTTTCGTTCTTGTGACCGCACAGAAACATGTTTGTTGTGCATCTTCCCTTTATTTTGTGTGATGTTAATTTGATGGTGGTTGATTTTCAGTGCATGTTGATTTGTTGATGGCTTGTTACAAAACTGGCTTGTGGTCGTTGCGGCCTTGTGAGGGTAAAATACATGTAAAATTGTATTTGGAGAAACTTTCAAGTTTGAACAGCGGTTTTTAGGCCAAGAAAGTGAAACCAATTCAGACCGGATATTTTACCCTGCTGTATGTATGCTGTATCTCAAAAATTTGAATTCGTTTCAAGGCCGTACATGTATCTCCAACATTTGAATTTGTTGCCAAGGCCGCAACACCATCCAAGGGCCAATCAGCAAGACGTTCTGTGAAAGGCATTGTTTGTATTTTGTACACACTTTTCTACAATTTTCTGAACTTCTTTATTGAAAAAGCGTTGGGGCGTACAGGTATGAGTGCTTTTAGGTCAGCATGGCTACAGCCATGCTGGAGATCAGACGCTCATGAAGTACATGAACATGTAGCAATGAACTCAGTACTTCAACAGTGTCCCTTGAGCTGATAGACTGTATGTGCACACTTGGTTGGCATGAATCATGGAGGTCATGTACATGTACCCCGGGTACATGACACTATTGTTAACTTGAGTATGTGCACACGTGTGGGGGTTGTTGTGAGGGCATTGGCACACAGAAGTAGTATTCTAGTATTGGCCTAACCTTTCTCTCTGTGGCCAGTTATGTGGGGGATAGTTGTGCACTGAGGTCAAAAGGGGAAAACTGTGAGTGTCCATCTACTCATAGCCACAGATTATCAAGGTTGACATGTTACTTGTTAAATTGGAATGATGCATTCACATCCTTGGTTTGCTTCACGTGCTTGCTGCAGTGAAAGTTATTCCCCCCTTGTTGCTTGGCTGATTGTCCTTCAGTTCATACATGTGCTTCATACGAATTGTGTTGTAAAATTTGACGTCAGAAAAGTTTGCCGATGAATTGTACAGATTTGCCATAGGCAAATTTATTAGGGGCATCACAACGTCACTTTGCATTCACAACAAGTTGGGATGGAAGGTAGCACTGTTGTACACCTGTAAGGCTGGGATGGCTAACCTCTTTATTATTACAACAGCAGGGTGAGAGAATTCAGCTTTTTTTAAAATTCAGATATTTAGTCTGAATTTCAGCTTTTTGTACACCTGCGCTGTTCAGAATTAGGGGAATTTTTCATTTTCAGAAGTTTTTAAAGCTGTTTTCAGTTTTTTTGTATGTAGCCACTCACACCCTGCAGTAGTCCAAAAAAGATCCAGCCCAACTTTATTGACATGTCAAGTGCTCACACCCCATACTAAAGTTGAGATAGTAGCAGGATAACAAAGGAAACAAAGACATAAAGTGCCTCAGGATTTACATACAGCTCTCAGAACATGATTGGCCGTTCTTGATGCAGTACTTAATTATACGTGTACGTGTATTCAAAAGGTTGCCCCATTGCATGCCATTTCCTTTTTGTTTGGTTCAGTTACGTTTCATCTGTTGCCGTTGTTTCTGTAAACCGTATCTGTACTTAGATAATGAATGCAAACCTGTGTATTGGATTGATTCCATATAGCCCATGATGAAAGCATCCGGACCCGAAGGGCTTGCCTTCAAAGACAAATGGAAGCGTTTTGAGCAACAGGTCGATGAGCAGGCCCACTCGACACCTAAGTCAAGTAAGTACAGGTGGACTGTCTGTCACAGCATGTTGTAGTGTGTCTGTCATAGTGTCTGTTGCATCCTCCGTCAGCATGCTTATTGTCAACTCTTGCGCCCTTTTCATTGTCACTAATGTTCTACGTATTTCCTTTGTTAAATGGCCAATTTTTATGTACATGTATGTGGCAGCTGCTGTATGGGCATCCCTTTTTATTTCTGTTTTCTTTTTTTCTTAACAACCCAATTTTTAATTCCCAAGTCAGGAAAGCAAAAACATTTTGATGCCGCCAAATATGTCTGTAATTTCTAAAAATGAATAAAAGTAAAAAAAAAGGATTATCCTCCCTAATTCAGTTGGGAAAATTGTTGACGCTTTTGTCTAGCGTCTTGTACCTGTAGAGCATTCACACTATGAACAGAAAATACAAACAATAGGCACTTTATGAAGTTGTACAGTAATAACTTGGGTTGGTTCACTTACTAAACATATCAATGTGATGGACTCTTTGGTTGACTGCAGCTGGCAAGAAAGTCACCCTCGTCAGCGATCAAGATTTGCAGAAGATCAAAGAAGATGAAGACAGGAGAATGCACTCCATGAGTGAGGATGACCGCATGAACTACTCACGCAGCATCACCATAGAAACCACGCCCAGCAAACAAGCCACATCGGACGATATATTCAACATCACGGGTTCTAGGTATGTGCTGTGTTGTTTGTCCAACCGTTCGTGTTCTTTGTGTGTCTGTGTGTTGCAAACTTGGAGTTGTGGGTATTGGAAACTAACACGTAGCTGATGCTTTTCTGCAACTTGGCTGACCATGAGGGCAGAGCATTGGGTTTGCCTAACTCAAATTAGCTGGTTGGTGGATGAAAAAAGTTGTTGTCAAAAAAGTTGTTGGAAAAAAGCTATCGTAAACTTCTTAAGCAGTTATGATTTGCTGAGTTTGAGAGTATTTCTACTTATTGTCGAGATTCAAGCTTTATAAACATGTCATGCATAAAATTCTCAGACGGCAAGCCTCCGGAAATAGAGTAAATTGCACACCACCTAATTGAATGAAATGAAGTATGCTAAAATTACCCTGCAGAGTTTTGAATACTTTGAAAGAGATCGGTCAAGGATCCAACCATGAGGCTTTCTGTACTTGAAAATTATCTTTCAGACACTATGAAATGCAAGTTTTCTGAGAATACTACACCACCGGACTTAAGAGGGAGAAAAAAAGATTGTTAGTGCTCACCAGGTGTCAGATTTTCAGACTAGTTTCTGTCTCCAGGGCGTGTATAGCTGACACCACCTGGGCTGACGCTGTTTAATACAAAATGATATAAAACACTGGTATTAGTGATAGGATTAACCCTAACACTCCTCAGTCCTCCAACAGGTGAAGGATTGAGGAGTGTTAGGAATAAGGGTCTTGGTGTGTACTTGCACTGTATTCTCATCCAGTCCACTAAAGCACTATCCAGCCTATGCACAATGTCTACATTGATTGAGGCCCACCGCACTGTATCAACTAGTTGTTTGGTAACTTACAAACATTTTCATCCATCGATCTCTTTCCATGTACATGTAGAATAAGATCTTGAGTAGACCCACAAACAGTAGTCAGGTGCCTAATAAATAGCTTCAGTCATCATAAGGAACAACACTTACACCACCAGGAGCAAAAGCAATATGGCAGAAGTACCAGTATTCAGAAAAAAAATCAACATATAACGACACTCTGAACAAAAGAGCAGATTTCTGTGAGGAAATTATAAATGTTGGGAAGAATTTTCACTTGTACCTGTTGAAGAATGTGATTGTGAGGTCAAAGTTCACAGTTCATGCACTTGTCTGTTGTCGTGATTAGTGTGACACCCAATCCCAAAAGAAAAAAACTGACTTGCCAAACAAATGCTGTTCTCCTTCCAGCATTAGTCCAATAACTGGTCTACCCACTGAAATTAGAACGGCGAAAGCCGAGCGAAGGTACTATGAGAAATTAAAGGCGGAGGGCCACGTGAGCCCCGACGTCAACCAAGAGGATGGGCTTGAAAAGGGGCTGTCCCCGGCGGAGATCAGGGCTAAAGAGGCGGAGAAGAGGGCAGCATGGCGGGCAGCCAGGTAGCGTCTATCCCTGCCCCTCCCTCCCTTCACTACAAAATAGTCGCCTCCAAATCCAAAACGTTCACATGACTTGTTGAAGCCTTACTTGAAATTACCAGAAGCTTTGAGGTTCAAAACATTACATTTTTTGCAGTTAACTTGATTTTCATAAGGAAATTGTTTACCATTTGGATTTTCCTTCACATAGATGTGGGAAAAGATACAAGATGGAAATAGAGTTATTTCTAAAAAAAAAAATTCAAACTCCAAATCAAAATTTATTCTGCCAAACCACTCCAAAATTTGTTGAACAAATTACAATTTGAAATGCAGCTTTTTTGCTTTTATAACACTGAACTTTGACTTCCAGTTTCTCTCCTTCTGGTCCAGAAAAAGATGCAATAATGAAAACTTTCACTTTTCTTTACGTTTCAGTCACACTTTTTTAAAAATCCTGTGGTTGATACTTTCCATCAGTCTAGTTTTGCTTGTCCTAGCTATACATCTGCTCTGCATAATCGTCTTTGATGTAGACGTAGATATTTGGATTTACATTCAATTTGCTCATTATATCTGCTCACTTTAAAAGTTGCTTATTTCTTCATTATTCATTGCAATGCTCGCAGTAGTTGTGCTGGTAAATTTCTTCAATAACATGCTTCTTTTGATTAGTATGAACACCAAATGCGGAAACTGCCAAAGTTGCACAAACTTTGGAAACACAGCCATAGAGTTATGCATACAGCTGCTTCATTCAATAACTTGGTTTCTGAAGCTAAAAGCTGTTGCCATGCATCCCACTCTGGTTTGCTAGAGAAAGGTTTTCTTGTTTAGCTTCATACCTTCTCTTTCTGTGGAAGAATGAGCTTTATTCTGATCCTATCTGGTGAGTTTCTAGTGGTGTTACAACAGTCACCGTGACAGACCACCTCATAAAGGGTTGCCCTGCATGATTACTCATCCTTCACAGTTAGAAAGTATTCCATACAAGGGCAAATCTCCAGCAGGTGGTTTGCCATTAGATCACCAGATAGGTTCTTGGAATGAGCTTGGCCGTGAGGGTGTGTTGTGTCGTGCTCTGCTCTCAACTTGGAGTTTGACAGTGTTGGTAAGAATTGTAAGGCAACTAAACTAGGCTTAATACATCCACGCAGGATGAAATCACTGGATGATGATGCTCTCAGGGCCCAGATGGTGCTAACACAACACAAGGATGCTGAAGATGGTCTCCGCTTCAATGCCCTAAGTAGTAAGTAGCCTTGAGAGAGAGACTAAGTCAATGACCTGTGACGCCTGTTGACCATACATCATACAGGGTGGTGCCAGGAGATGAGACTAACCCTACAACTAGAATGAGAAGCCTCAATGCATGACTACTGTGGTCAAGTCCAGGTTACATGTTACAGTGTTATGCCTCCAGGACCAATACAGTGTTTTCCACAAATACCAAACTGAAGCCATGAATGACATATATGTGAGTGTAATGTCCTTGTAGTTTTGGTGTCTCCGTGATTTTCTGTCCATTATTACACCAGACTGCGGCATTTACCCTCCATATTCAGAAGCTTCTCATTGAATCATTTGTCATGACCTGTAGACTAGGGCATATGTCCCCCTCCCACCCCAAAACAGCCCCTCTCCTAATTTATTTTTTTATTTTAAATAAGAAAAAAAATTGGGGGGGGGGGAGTCTATAGGCCTACCAGTTTCCTTCCAAAAGAGTGTAAAAAGCCCTGAAATGTAAAATGCCTCGTAACATTCCATGAAAAAATCTCCAAGTTGTTCTGCCAACATGTTTTGCTCCCCCTCTCCCCCCGGGAAAAGGAAAAAAAAATAAAACAACGGGTTCTGAATCCACCGTAGTAGCAGTGCTAATCAGTTCAGTTTTGTATTTGAGCTTACGGCTATTACTCATGGCCCTTCTGTTTACAATATTGCAACTGTCAACTCCCCCCCCCATATTAAACTGATGAAATGATTGTTTGCCTTCTCAGATGGCAACAACAAACCTTCAGAAAATGGCGAGAATCCGCCAGTCAAGGTATCGCCACTGGAAGCTGAGCTACAGTTCATTGATGATGAAAACGGTGGAGGTAAGCAATGTAAGGGACAGTATGTCACTAGCATGAGAATTGCCACAAGCGCCTTGATGGACTATTCATAAGAGCCATGAGTATGTGAGATTAGGGCCAGGAGGGCTTTATTCACAGGTCGGCAAATTTTGGATCATGTATCCCAAATCCACTTCATTACTTGAATACTCGGCACTGGAAGGAGCTTAGTTACAGTTTGCTACACTTACTGATACGGTGTTGCTTTTGATTGCTACAAATTAAAATATAAAATGGTGGCTTTTTGGGTAGTGTGATTTTGGAGTCCATCAAGAATCCCAATGAGTTCATCAGAAGTCATCTTGTCTTAAGCCAAGCCACAAGCTATTCAAACTACCTACAAAAGCATTTCTGTCTCGTTGTTACTGCTTCACTCGTTGCTAATCTTGGACTTGTGAATGTCAACAACTCAACTACATGTACAACACTGGCGCATGGCATCAGCGTAACTGTCCCGCTGCATCTGTTTCTTTCAGCCTGCAAGACTCATAAATACAAGCTTTTGTTTTAATCAATATAACAAGATTTATTTCTCATTCCACAGATTGAGTCTATATAGCCCCTGCTACAAGTAGCATGCTGGGAAGCATTGCTCAACCCGCCTGTGGAAAGTGGAATGTTCCAGTCTTTCCGACCAATCGGGTGTCTCCATAAGCATGCGGCAACGCTACTACACTTTTTATAAATGGAATAAATCAAATTGCAGATTTTTAACCATGTTGCACCACAGTTTTTGGAGCTATATTTTTAACAAAGCCTTATCAAATCTGGGGATCGGAAAGAGGTTTTTAGATGGTGTAGGATTGTAGTTTTTATCTAATAAGTTGGAGGTCTGATATCAACACACACAAAATCTGAACGTTTCCTGTATCATAGTCATCATATTTGTTTTCTTTTTGTTTTAATACATTTATTTATTACTATAAAAAATTGTTCTCCAAATATAGTAGGATGTGTAAATTTTGAAAGGGGAAGTGTTTGTAACAACAGGTTTCAGGGGAGGGACTATTTTCTCTTGCATTTTGGCAGCATTTGAAAGGTAGACAGTACAGAGAAAAAGCAGTGGACAGGATTTGAAGAGTGGAACGTAGCAGTATTTTGAACCTGTGTAGGTAGTGTTGTTCAGATTCACTCCATATCTGCAACACCGGTAGCATTGGACCATCCTTTTTCTTGTACTTTGATGTACAGAATTTTAACATTTTTAATGGAGATATGTACAGACATGAGAAAGTGAAGACTTGTTTATCATCTTTGTAGTGTAGAAAGACATCTGGGAAGAAAGAGGTTGGATAATTCCAGACATTTTAAGCGCTGAATGTCCTTTGGTGTGAAATCTGTCATGTTTCCTTTAAACTTGCCAAAAATGTGGGTCCTTTGAAATAATTTCTTCCCAGGCCAAGATTTTAGCAGTTGTAGGTGTTGATTTTAATTGAAAATTGTATTATTTCATGATTATGACACAATTCTTTTTAAGTTTTTTGTAATTGGATGAGCTGTGAATAAATTTCCCATAATTATGTGCTTTTAGCGTACTTTTTTATGTCACATTTTAGCCCTTGGTAGTATTTGTCTGAGGATTCGATAAACTTTCACTGCTGATCGGGAAACTCTCTAACTTTTCATTTTCACTTGAAGTGTTGTTTGGAAATGAGAAAAATGGTGAATAAGAAATCATGTTAGATGTGGTGTTGCACGGACACAAAAGCAGATGTACCAAGAACAAATTCTAATGTTTGTACGTACTTATTCTTAAAAATGTTTTCTAGAAAGGAGAAATATTTTGGAATTATTGAAACCTTTGCCCAAAGGAAAGGCACCTTACTTGTAAATAATGTAAAATTTGAAACAAATTGTCTCCTTTTTTGGTCCCTTATTTCAACCCCAGCTGCTCCTCCTGTTTTTCTCACTCTTCCCAATTCACAACTTTTTTTTCCAGTGTTCAGTTTTCATAAACTCTTCAGACATATGACACAGCATCCCCAAACTAGATTGAAGTTGCCCGAAAGGCTTTGAAGTCACTAGACGGTATTGGTGAAACCACAACTCACAGTGCAGAGTTTGTCAACAACAGGCAAAGCTTCCTGTGAAAAAAAAAATGTAGTTTGGAATCGCTTAGCAGACTGGTACTCTGAGCAGTTTTTAGTAGTAAGCATGCCATGATATGTAAATCCAAAACCTAGTGGATGTATTTATACCTTGATTTGGGCTCATGTCTGGTTTGAACTCTTCCATTAACATCGCACAGCATCTGGGACTTGCTTCATATCCAGCATTTGTGCACAACATCAGCAGGTGCCGTAGGCAATGTGGACATGTTTGGATGGGTCATCGCAGCGGGGAATCAGTGATTGAAACTTGCTCTTGCTGACCAATCAAATTCCTTTGCTGGATCTCACTAATAGGTGAGAAATTCTGTAGGTGACGTGTGATGGAATATGCTCTTCAACATGTACTTTGGGTGTAAATCAGCGTGTTACTTACTACACAGATCAAAAAAAATACATCTTGATAATACACAGATCAGCTTTGATTCCGATAAAACCACCATGCCCCTATCATGGCATTATCTGTCTGTTGCAAACATGCTATTCAGATTATTCCAAATAGTTTTGATTGATAAGATTTACCCTAAATTCCTCATCCATGTTTTCCCCACGTAGATAAAGATTCATTAATCAGGATTTTGGACAACTTTATGTTTCGGTCGTATACTGCGTTGCCTTTCCTTACGTACAGGTTTTGGTCAAGTTCTCTTTCAATTTCATCTATAAAATGCAGTTACACGAATCAAGCTTTCATTATTCCAGGCACTCTAGGGCTTGCAATTCTGTATGATTGAGTGGCTGGTTTGGAACAAAGTTGCTTCTCATGTACCCCCTACAAATTTGTAGTCGTGGATATATCTGCATTTAAATATATGGTGCCTTTTCTACAATGTGGTGTTATATATTGTGAATATTGTAGTACTTTGGGGCCTGCATTTGTGAAAAACATGGACAAACTTGGCTGCCAGAGTTAATCCATGAGACACTTTAATATTGGGCCTCTTTGTATATTCCTGAATATTTTGTACATGGATTGAACAAGCAGTGTACATTGGGGGAAAAAACTGTGGCCAACAGGGGAGGTATTGGGGTGTAGAAATAATATGTACGCACCTCAATTCTCTGAAATTTTTGTTACAATTGTATGAAACATTTTTTTAATAGTTTGCTATTGAGTTTGCTTGCTTATTGGTATATGCCATTACTTTCTGTAGGCCAGCTTTATTTCTTTTCTTTTGTATTTATACACTTGCATTGAGTGCCATTTATTCAGACTTGCATATTAAACAAATCAGTAATTTCTTGACCATTTAGCTGGTTGTACTCCAGTTTTGTTGGCTGTGGCCAGCCTTGTGGGTGGTCTCAATGACAAGTGGATTTAATGTACATTTTAGTCGCAATTCTTGTGCCAGTTCACATTTTCCAAGCTGCCCAAGCGCAGTGGGAACTGGTCAAGTTTGCTTTGATCAGCACTTTAATCAAAATCAAACCAGGAAAGTGTCTAGAAATCTTTATTTCTTGGTGGCACTGGGTTTGAATGCACCGTCTTTAGGTTTGTTGTGTATGAGCTGTTTAATTTTTAAAACCACTTTTGGCTTAGCCGTGGCTATTTTCATTTCAGTTGTCACTTTGAAATGTCCAAGTAATACCCCGTCAGCAAACCCCAGTCATGTCTTTTGTGTTGTTCGGTTTTCTTTTCAAGTTCTTTCAAGGCAAAACTAATCACAGCAAGTAAGCAATTACCAGTCTTCATTTTAAAAATGCTTCCAGTGTCATCACTGATGAGGTAGACCTGGACCTGGTCACCGTGAATGCTTATGGCATGCCAAGTGTCTACAGTTAACAAATCAGGTGTTACTTCCTTATATCGACACATTTAAGAACCTTGGGAACCCCTGTCCTGTTGCAGGCTTCACTGGTCATGGTGGCAAACTTGGGCATCATTTCGAATCTGATCTAAAAGCCTACATGTGAAGCATTACATAGATACTCCACACAAGACTGGCGGTATATTTGGACTTCAAGGTAACGCTGAACTTTTACCCATTTGTAACTTGACACCAACTTCAACACTGTACATAGGAACTGTGTAATTATAAACCCACTGTATTCCGTTAGAATGTGAGGAATCCTTTGTCATTTCTGATATTGATTAAATAAATAGTATTGGAGAATAATTAATGTCCGGATATTGTTATTATTAAAGTCTATGAGAGTAACAATTTTGACATTTATATTACAACCCTGCCAACTAAATCATTCATTGAATGACTTCTGCTGGGTGAATGATTGAATTGCCCCAAAATGATTGTACTCCATTTTTAATCACCAGATATGGAAAAAAAATTTTTTTTGGGTACAATCAAGCAAAAGGAGGTTGGCAGGATCTTGTTTAATAGATGCCAGTTTAAACATACTCAGTGGGGATTGAGAAACTGATTTTTAACCAAATGGCAAATTTTTAATCGTGAAAAATGTAGAGTGTGCTTAAGTTCCATGCGTCATTTTTCATACTTACCAAACTTGCGTGCATCCAAGCAAGATCACTAATGCTAAACAGGAAACTGAACTTTCCAAAAGAGACCATCTGATCAGAATACTAATTAGATTCTGCAGTTTAAAACCCTGGGTTACATTGTTTTCATGTTTTACATGAGCCAGTATTTGTAATCAGTTATACTCTTGACATCAGGGTCACCGAGTGAAAGTAGTTTGGATCAACACCAAATTTGGAAGTACATGAATACAAATTTTATTTCAATTTTAGACTTTAATAAACATGCAATGGCTTCACCAACAAATACAGTTATAAATGAAAGCAAATTCATGACAGGTATAGGACAACCAAAATTCAAATTAAAATCAAAATGCTAGTTAGAAACTACTAAATGGAGTCGAGCCTTCCTTGCATAAACTTCTCCTCACAAACCTACCCCAATCTGTCTTTTAGCATAAAGAAAAAATTCTACTGAGCTCAAACATCAGGCCTTCTGAACATTCTAATCATTTCACATCTACAAACTGAACACCACAGAATATATCTTCCATTCTACAATTTATTTCTACTTGACTACTTTAAAAATAATATTGTGTTCTATAAATCTGTCACCAGAAAGGCATTAAAAATTTTAAGATTAGGTATGAGTGAGAAATGAGTTAAACTTTAAAGACAAACCTTTAACCTGTTAACATCAACACTGGCAAATATGCAATTATAAAGGTCGAATTGAAATTACAAATTTCTTTAAAATGGGTATATTATACAAGTACAAAAAATATAGCACTGGCACGAACATGTGAAAATTGAAAAATTCAATGGGTGTTTTCCACCGCGACCATGGCATCTCTCTCCTTGATGAGCTGGTCTTCCTATTGAGCCTCTGAAAAGGAGGATGTTTCAGGACACGAGGCAGGACTGCTAGCGGGCGAGAGTTCTGAAGTATCACTGTCAATATGGCCTTTATCCTGAAGAAAAAAAAACCCAAGAAATACAGTACACCACACAGAAACTCATTCAGATCACTTTGATCAGGTTTTTGTTGAACTAAACAATCGATTGGGATTAGCCAGTCAATACAGTGTAAACTAAGATAGTATGTAGTTTCATCAGCCTCATGTGAGAGGGTACCTGCAAAGTATTGGCAAGTTTTAATACACATAAAGATAGTCGTAAATACTACAAGAAATACATCCCATGAAATGTGAGCAATCCATTCAAACAAAGAAAGATGGCATACTGTTATCAAACCTCAGAAATTCTTTTCGGATTGAAGACTAGGTCCAGAATTTGGGACTGTAACAACACTTACTGGCTCAGCGGCATTGTCCGTGGCCCAAGTTAAACCCCTTTAGGGTGTGGTTGCAAAATTCTACTGAAATTCAGGATTAAAAAAGTCCACATTCCAACGAGTCACTCACTTTTGTGACTTGAGTCGAGTTGAGTTATTGTGACACGGTGACTTGAGTCATTAGGCCAAAAATCAAATCAAGTCAAATATTAAAAATATTAACAAGAGCGAGTCAACTTTTCAAATTTACCTCTGGGTAAGTACACATGGTCACTCCACATCTACTCTTGACAATAACAACACATGACATGAACATTATAAAATGGCATTAAGTTCCAGTATTTTTTCACCCTGAAGTTTGCTTTTATTCTTGGGACTCGAGTCTTACCAACTTTTACTCAAGTCTGTTCTTCTTGTGGGGGACTTCAGCCATTTGCTTCAACCACTCAAGTCGAGTCACAAAAGGCTGTGACTCGAGTCCGACTCAAGTCAAAAAAGGCTGTGACTCAAGTCAGACTCCAGTTGATTAATTGGGTCCGGGCATTACAACAAAAGCGGTGATAATCCAGCCTTGTTTTGAAACCGTATACCAGGATTTGGGGCATTGTGAGCGAGCGGATTACTACCGGGGACAAAAGCGCTCCACCACTGCAGTGATGAGCCACACAGCACCGCTGCACGCTAATCTGGCCCCTATTGAAAAGAGGTCAGCAGTGCACTAAGCCAGGTTCGTGAACAAAAGACAGTTACACAACACCGCACAATCTGGGCTCTGTTTACAAGGCTGCTGGCCTGGCTGAAATACTCGGGCATCAATGAAGGTCACCTGTAAACTTAGAGTAGTGCCTAAAGATTACTTGGTGTCGCTATAAACGACCGTTAAATGAAATGATGAATTTTTGAAGGATTTTGAAAACGGAAACAATGATAGTCATGCCGGCCCAGCATCATTAACATTGAAAAATGCCCCGGCATGAAGTGGTTAACCACTTTTCAATAGGGGCCAGATTAGTGTGCAGCGGTACTGTGTGGCTCATCGCTGCGGTGGTGGAGCGCATTTGTCCCAGGTAGTAATCCGCTTGCTCTAAATGCCCCAAACCCTGGTATATGGTTTCAAAACAAGGCTGGATTATCACCACTTTTGAGAGTGAAAAATGTCGATAATGCCCAGCAGCCTGGTCTTTTGTTTAGAGTACGGTCTTTTGTTACAGGGCCCTGTTTCCTTTGTCCGAGTTCAGAGACCACGGCCACGCATATAAAGCATAAGGCTCCGATTCCGGAGTCCCCGGCAGGAAGTGGTTAACAAGGTTATTGGGCCTTGATGTAATGCTTTGCTTACAACTACTGCTACAGCTTCCCTGTACAATGGAACAAAACCTCCATGCTGACCAATTTCTGAGGGGACAGACTTGTCTTTTATGGTGACCCTTAATAAACCTTACCGGCTCACTCCCAGCATCACTAGTCTCCCGCTCTGACTGGCTGCTGTAGGCACTGTCGGACTTCTTCCCAGGGCTGCTAGGTTCAACCACCTCCCAAGGAGGTGAGGCTTGGTCTTCACAGCGACGGAGGGCAAACTTGTAGACACCAAAGCCAGAGAGGCCAGTGGTGAACCAGTATTTCTCAACCATGTACACACCTGCAGGGAAGGAATTTATGTTGGGATATAACTGATTCAAGCAAGCTGACCATGCCCCTTGTGTTGGAACATTTCATTTAATTAACTTGGGACAAATTTCTACACCGAAGCTATGGTAAGGTCTCAATACAGCCATCTGTGGGGGCAGAGAGGGTTAATTGTGGTTGATTGTTGTATGCTCCCAAGGGAGTTAAGATGTTTCTAGGCTCAGTGAGCCCGAATAACGAATACTGTGTAAAGCATGTCCAGAACCTGCCAGGTACAGGAACGCGCATAAAGTACACCATATCATTAATATTGTAATTTTGAGCCCAATGAGCATGTTCGGGATTCCCACACCGCATGCTCTATATGAATCGTGTTTGAGGTCATTCAGAGACGCATGCGACGTCTGCCCTATTTAGCACTGCCTCACTCTGAGTCTTCCACTAACTTACCATCATATCTGTAGCCCTCCTCTGGTGCATACGGACTGTCCAACTTGTAGCCACGAATCACACGCACAGGACGCTTAAACTCAATATTCCTGGTGAGTGCCAGGTTCCCTGTTGGGCAAAACAACGAGACATGACCACAGAAAGTATTCACAGACACTTATGTAGGCTCTTCACACAAAGGCCAAGCATACTGTACTACACAGGCTTTCCAGATGAAATAGATTAATCCACAACTGTTACACCACGGTGCCCAAAACTCACTGCTGGCTTGTGAATGACTGTACTTATATCCTGAGCTAATCCTCAGAAACGCTGTCAGAAGCAAAGGTACTGTCTATCAGTATTTCAGGCTGTGTACGGAACAGTTTCCTGTGGGCCAGGGATTCCTAGCTACAATGTATACATTCATCTAACCTCTAGTCAGTGTCTGGTCCCTGGACTGTGGTGCTGTGCGTAGATTCTTAGGGTTAGCCTTCGTTCCCTTCAAGTCACGACCACCTAGAGAAGAACCAAATCACAAAAAAGCACAATAACTTTCCCTTGAAAGTATCTGTCGGTAGAGGGTTTGCAGAACAGCCATCTTGTAGGCCAGTGCTTTTGTTCCACAGGGTATGCATACCAGGAACTTTCCCTACGGAAAAAAAAGAGCTGCCTTTCAAGATGGCTACCATGCAAAGCCTCTACTCCCATAATGATTCCTATTGGAAAATTAAAGATGGAATATACTGACTGAAATTACTGGATTAAGACTGAACATTAAAATGATCCCTTTAGCCCCTACACACTGTCTCCTATGTTCTTGGAATGTATTGATTTTATCAGGTCCAGCCTTCAGGAATGTCTCCAATGGGGTGGTCCACTGATGTCATTTTGACACCAATTTATGAAACTCAGACATACTATTCTTGCATACTTTTTTCCAAGATAAGCTTGCCCAAAATTCAAACTTTTCCAACTGACATGTCTATAAAGTTTACACAGGCTGATGCACAAACGGGTGAATCATAACTGCTAATACTAACACAAGAGTGCCGCAAATGTGCACTGCATGACATGACATTGAAACTGGCAGATCCTTTCAAAACTGTGGAAGGTTTGGTAATATAAAGGGAGGTTCAGGGTATTTCTTTTAAACAGGGGAAATTACTGTACGTATGTTTCTCATTTAGTGAATAATTTTGGACGGTTTGTGATGATTCCAGGGAAGAACATGTACATTAGTTAGGCTACTTCAGCCCAGGAGCTGCAAGTAGAGAAATGAGCCCTAAGCACTGCACATACATGGGCGTGTTTGATAGTGCAGTACGTATGCAATAAGGGGAGGGTGGGTGATGTAGGTTCCATACTGATCACTGCAAGACATGCAGCAATCCCAATGAATCAGTCTGGTATTCCAACAGCGTATTGCCCAGTATGAGGCTATTCAGGCACAGCTACATGCACGCATGGCAGTCTGTCCTACCAGTGTAGCACTACACTGACTCCAATATAAGCTTTCTTCCCGAAGGACCTAGACTTTTAGAAATACCAAACTGGCTCACTGTCTGAAGAAACAAAGAATTTCCAAGGTAGGAGTGCCTAGTATTGCTATCTGTACTGCGCCCGTCGTGAGCATTCAGGATATGCAGGTACCTCTACCGGTGGGTAGGCCGTCACCAAGTTCAGGGGTCAATTTCTTTTGTTTGGCCAGAGCTCTGGGGACATTTCTCTGTCCCCATAATGTTTGCGGTCCCCACAAAATAGGTGAAATATTGTGTGTATGTTTCCACAACTACGGAACGACAAGGATTGAACTTATGGTGTTACTGAACACAAACCTAGGCCTTCAGATGAAATGACAACCTCCGTTATAATTCACACACCTGTCCCGACAACACAGGTTTCCAGACAGTCCACATACCTTCTCCAGTGTACGTGAAACTCTCTCCGAGGTCCAAATCATCCTCGTAGCCACCCGACAATGCCAATGAGTAGCATCCCTCTTCCTCGTTGCCATGGATACCAGCCACTGTGGGCCGATGGATGCCATCTCGGGAGCAGTCAATCCGCATCATCCATTCCTGACCAACCTCTACACCTGAAAGTTGAAACAGTATCAAATGACATTTAATTGTGCTAGGAAATACCTACAGATTTATCATTAAATCCTAACACAACTAAATCCACATGGAAATCACGATCCCCCCCAAAAATTATGTAAGTGGAGTCGGGCACTTGCATTAGATTTTGCAAAATAAAGTGAAGTAAACAAAGCAAAAATGTGGTAAACCTTCAAAAGTTTGATTATGTACAATAAACAGAGTCAGTACATTCCTGGAATTTAGTTTATCACGTTGTTATTTCATGCACACTGTGCTAAATTGGTTGAAATGCTTGACCATCAAGCATGGACGCCAGATCTTACCTTCAATAGCGCCAAATGAATTCTCTCTTCTGACTGGCTTGGTGGGCGTATAGTCTGCGTCTGGATCAGCCTTGGACAGGTCAGCATCAACCTCATCAGCAGTCCGAGGTTTCTATGAAACAAGTCAATCCTGTATCTAATTAACTCACAACAGACTCAACCTGCAAATGTTTTGACTAGCAACTACGACCACTAAAATTTGCAGTTTACTGAGCGGGCTTACTGATGGAATGTGTGCTTGGCTTACTCTCAAATGTTCCTTTGTGACCAGATCAGAAAAATGGATGCTGATAATGGCCTGAGCTGAACCCTTTGAGTCACATAGTCAAACAAGTTGAACAAAAGTTATAAATTTTCGACAATTCTGTTCAACATTTTTACTTCTTTTCAAACACCCCTCAGCCATCTTATCTCTTTACATGGAATGTGGTGCACATGCGGAGTGTACAGCGTAAGATTGGCATAGAATGCAATAAGCCAGTGTAGTGTGAATTTGAAACTCCCGAAATGTGGGCTCATTGTAAGTATTGTGCAAACATAACTAAAGATTGTAAACATTCGTCCAGTTCGAGGCAAAAGAGACTAGATTTTATAGGTGTCTAAATTTCACGCAATCTTAAGACCAGCTACATGATGACTACTAACCAACAGGAATGGCTGAACTGTCTTAGGTATTTATCAATGAAGGACAAAATTATTTGATACTTCACTTATCCTTGATGGGAATGTTAGCATTCTCGGATATGGTTGATTCTTGACATAATACATTTATCAGTGCAAGCAATGCAAGTTTGACAAGGCCCCGTATGTAGTAACCTTGCATAGATTCTGTCTTCATGAGTACTTACCAGTCCAATTAACCGTCTGGATTTCCGCACACCAGATGCAAAGGAGCTTCCAGCCTCTTCGTCTAAACCACGCCTCTGCAGCAGGAGTTTACTGGGTACGGGGCTTTCGGATTGCTGCTTACGTTTACGGGTGAGTTGCTTGGGACGCTTCTGAATGTTCCTTGGCTCAAGCTGAAACTGTTACATAATTTTTTGAAAAGGTGACTCTTTTTTCCCAGGCAAAACAATTTACAAGGGCTCATTTTTTTCTTGAAGCTGACTTCCTGGACTCTACTTGTTGCAGAAGTTGTTTGTTTGTCATTTGACATGACCACACTTCCATTGCGTGCGCATTTAAATGATTTATTTTCATTTGAAATGTGCTGAATCCTTTAAATTCTGCAATAATGAAAATTTCTAAATTTTGAGCCAACATCTCAGCATTTATGCAATTTCCTCAAAAAGCTAAACGTTTAGTTGAACATTCTTTGGGTTTTTAAATACAGAATTTCAGAATTTATTCTTAGTTTTAGCTTGTGAAAAGATTTCATCACATGTGTAAACCCTCAGATTTAGTTCACCTTTGATTTTAAATGTCAGATTTGAGGAACAAAATGAACAAATGAAAACAAAACAAGTAATGCTTTTTTGGCTACAAAACACTATTTGGGTGAGTGGGGGCTCTTATTTCCGCAATTTACCGGTTTGTACAAGCCTAGTTCCTTTAGCACACGCTTGTTTTCCTCGATGTTCTTCAGACGCTGGACTTCATAGGGTGACAATTCAGCTGGCATTGTGGTCTAAATAAAAAAAAAAAAGAATAAGAAGTGTATTACAGAACCAATACAGCAGGTTGTATGAAAAGTGGCTTTAATGAGATTTATAGGACTTTGATGGGGACTGACAGAACACAAGGACCTACATGTAAAATCCAGGCCTGCTGTGGGCTGTTTCAATTTGTTTACCTACCCTGAAAGTTGCAAAATCATCCTTTTGACGTTTTATATTGAATGCTACATTAAACATGTTAAATGCAGGATATTTCTTTCTTTTTTATGGATTTTTTTCAAGGGAGATACATACATGTAAGTCTAAAACGGCATTCAGTCTGAAATAGCTTGCAATAGTTCAAGTCTCCCTCAAAAGACACCTACTGCGCAATCTTCAGTCAGCATGCAGACAGAAAAAGCAAAAGCGAATCAGGACTGGTTCACATTCAAATATCAACTGCCTTTCATAAATTTGTAACCATGACTTGTAATATTTGTTCTGTTTGGCCTAACGTCAATGAGTGACAACTGAATCGCCCTGGCTACAGTTATGGCACTTTAGGCTGGTTACCATCTACTTCTATTACACCAATCTGGACCACGGGAAACAGGGACCAGACCTTTATAAAAATCTCTGGTATTAATCCAACCCCCAAAACACAAGAAAAGGAAAGAAAAGTATCTATGCTTCAGAAGGAAATATAGGATGTACAGTAATTGAAACACGTAAAGAAAATCAGCACAACACAAAAGTTGAAGAAAGTTAATGAGCTCATATAATGAGGCCTGGCCTAACAATATTGCCCCGCCATTGTACACAAAAAGTAACGAAGTATGTTACTCCAGTACAGGGCTTAAATTAAACACCAGGTCTGGGTGTTAGGACTAGGCCTCCCTTTTCACCATTTTTGAACTTGGTTTGTTGTACAAATCGAGTCCCAAATTCGACAAAAGGAGTTCTTATTGCCCTAGTTAGCTACTGATTCTAGTGCAGCACGTATGCCACAGCATGTTGGTGGGGCTTATTTTAAAAACAGTATTGATTCCATCACAAGTCCCTGCAAGTCCATCACAAGTCATTCAGTCTTAAGCCAATTCACAAGCTATTTAAATGAGCTATAGCAAAAACGTTCCTTCATCATTGTTAATAAAAATAATAAAAATTATAATGTGCATTTTTGCAAGTTAAAATGCGCGGTACTGTATTTTCTTGAGCAGTCCTTACAATGGCAGCAGCATAGACAGTGCCCTCAATGTGTACATTCCACCCTGTTACTTCTGACTGGCCTTGTGAAGGGACATGTGACTGGCCTTGTGACTGGCCTTGTGACTGACCTTGTGAAGGGACATGTGACTGGCCTTGTGAAGGGACTTGTGACTGGCCTTGTGAACGGACTTGTGACTGGCCTTGTGACTGGCCTTGTGACTGGCCTTGTGAAGGGACATGTGACTGGCCTTGTGAAGGGACTTGTGACTGGCCTTGTGAAGGGACTTGTGAAGGGACTTGTGACTGGCCTT